CAAACCGGTCAGCGGGACAAGGTCGCGAGGGCAAGTTGCAAGACCGAATCTACAACCAAACTAGGCCACCTTAGGCACCCCATCAGATCTTGCAACCCTAACCAGCGCCTCAAAAAATAGCCCTAATGTGGCAAGCCGGAGGGTCAGCCTCCACTGGATACCCTCCTGGGCATCGCAGCACTTTAACAAGTCCTGTACTGGACAGAAGTCCGACGACCTCTTTCAAACACCTATCTGTGCCCCTATGATTAGTTCCGCAATCCGACCGGATCAGCTCTGCAAACAGCGACGCTACACGAAGCTGCCCAGACAAATTTTGTGCCAGCAGTTGCTTCAGTGCAGAGCGCACCCACAAATTCCACATGAACGTCGTCTGTGGAGAGCCAAACGAAACGCACAGATAGTCCCTAGAATGAATTTTCAACAAGTAGGCCTAGCCACGCCACCCACCATATTATCATTTACTAAAATAGTGCGGCAGCTGATTTCAATCCGATAATCTCCAAAACTAGCTAGCCTGTTAGGCAAGTAGTCCTATGCTCATATTTCAACTAATTTTTCAAAAGCATCAATGTTCAACTACAGAATTAATTCAACCAAATTAATCACCGATGCGCATAGGTCAATTTGCAAATTAAACAAAACAATAACGTAAGGGACAGCCCTACTTCTTCGCAAAGCAAAATGATTAAACACTATCTATGTATATGTTACATAATTTTTCAAATAGCGCGCCATTCAATTTCCTTTCAGCAAACAGACGCAACAATCAAATACAATGATTAAATATATGTACAAAACACATGCAGTAGCATTTAAAGGAGTAGATTAAATTCAATTCTTTTAATTTAAACCGCTACAAATAAGAAAATTTTGCGGAAAGCCCAAAGCAATTTTTAATTTTAATTCAAGTATTTTTTGACTAAGTGCTCGACCAAACCAAATCTAATACCCCTTGACAGCGTGATTCAACGCTCCAGAGGGGCCCTAATCTTCCCACCACCAAGGGGAGGCCACATGGCGTGAACCCGAGATAAATAGAGCACAACCTCTAACAGTTGCCACTCGGGTTGTACGCCTTCACTGAGGCCGTCGGCAACAGAACATTTTGACAAGTCAACTGTTGACGGCTTAAGGCTCAGTGGAGGTGGCCGTGGTGGAAGCTAAGGCGGCAGCTAGCCAGGGCCGCCTCCATCAAATGGGGAACAGTGGTACACCAGTCGCGGCCACTCAGCTAACGGGAGTGAGAAGGGTCCAGCGGACCGATGAGTGGCCGTGAAGTTCCTCTCCACACGCTTAGGGGGGGTGATGACACCCCCGCCCCTGGGGGAATTACCCCCCGACTGGTCGGGGGAGGGACCCCTTTCAAACTTAGGGGCCTGATGGCTGGCCGGCGGGCGCCGAGAGTCGCCCGGCAGAGGGCGTGGCTGAGCGCCCCCGCCCGTGGGGGTCGAGGGCCTGGCAGAGCCCCGAGAGGAGACGCCGTTCGCACTCAGGCACAAAACGGCATGATGATTGCCCTGGCAATGCAGACAGGGCCGCCGATGCGGACAGTCTCGCTGGAGGTGTCCTCCCAAACATGAGCAGCACCAGCGGCGCTCCTTGGCGATAGTTCGCCTCGCTGGAACCGGCTTACCTAATAATTTCGGGCACGACGTTACCCAATGATCAGATGCTCGACAATAGGAGCAGGGGGGGGTTGACGACGACTTGCCTGGAGGATTCAGCCTCTCACTGGGCACGTCTCGTAAGTCGTCAACGGTGCCCGCCGCGCACTCTATCTGCCGGCACTGCTCCTCCAAAAACCGCAGCAGGTCATAGAAGGGCGGAATATAGGAGGCCTCGTCCCCGCCGTACCTCTCCTCAAAATGGATTCGAAGGTCGAGAGGTAGACGGGACGGCATGATGCGGAGCAACAAAAAAGCCCATTCGCCCACTGGTAAACCCAGCCGCCTCAACGTATTACAGGCCACCAAGACTGGATCCAACAGGTCCGGACGCAGTCTGGCCCGGTCACTAAGCAGCGGGAGGCTTAGAAGCTGACTCACATGTTCGTCCGCAATTCGCCGGACGTTGGCGTATCTTCTGGCTAGGAGGTCCCGAGCAGTGTGGTAGGCGTCGTCCGACAATCTCAAGTGGCCGACGACGCCCAGGGCCTCCCCCTCCAGTGATGCCAGGAGGTACGCCATCTTTTGGCTCGGGGTCAAGTCACTCCAGGCGTCCACTAGGCTGTCGAAAAGACCAACGAAGGTCAGCCATTCGGAATGGACCCCGGAGAACTTTGGCAGGTCCAGAGTTGGGAGTCGTCCCAACAGCTCCGGCTGAAGCTGCTTCAGAGAGGACTCGGATAGATCACTCATCCGAGCTTCACGCGCCTCCTCGGCATACCTGCCTTCAGCCTCGATGAACTCGTCCGTGAGCCACAAGAACTGCTCATAGTCCGCGAAGCAGGAGTCCAGGACTCCCTTCTCCATATCTGAATCCTCGAGCTCAGCGTAAGCCTCCTCCACTGCGGCCCTTCGAGCATCCACCTGCTCGAACCGCTTCATCAAGTTATGGACCCTATCCGGTCGACCTATCAAAGCATGGGCGCTTGTGGCCCAGCGCAACTCAGTCCGCAGACAACGGATCAGTAGCTTAGGCGATGTCATCACTATTAAATACAAATTACGACGCGGCTTGAGCACAGATTACAAAGATAACAAACAAAAAATACAACAAAAATTAACAGTTAATAAATGCAGTTCCTATCAAATCGCGTTGAATAGAAATTACACAAATACGAATTACTACGTATCAACCAAATACAAGTTAGCTCAAAAGAAAAGACAATCAAATTAACAAATAACAAATACTAGTGCGATGAAATCAAGTTAAATTCAAAGTACGCAAATACAATTACTACTCTTTAGTTCAAATACAAATTACAGTATAAACGAAGATACACATCACGGTCGATCAACAAAAATGCCTAGCTCGGAAATCGAACCTTCGATAAGTAATCCACTACAACTATCCGACAACGATAATTAACCGATTACGTAAAAATAACCATCTACCTACATGACGTATATCTCTAGAAAAACTCCCGCTTGCACAACCTAGGGCGCGGCTTTTCAAATTACCCTCTAACCAAAAAAAAGGCAAGCAACAAAGGAAAATAATTCTATTATTACGTACAAAAAAATATTTTTACGTATTACGGACGGGCGTGATTGTAGATGCAAATTAAACCAATCACACCAATGCTCCCTGCCACCAAAATTGTTTAATGTTTATCAAACACTATAGTCGGGATCGACCGGGAATCAAACCCGGAATCGCGCTCTGCCACCAGTTTGTTACGGCCTACGGCTGCTCCCTTAAAGGATCCAATCGCTATGTATCTTCTTTCGGGGACAGTGAAGACGCACTGCAAAAGTTAAGTTATATTAAAAGCCTTATCCATTAGTAATGCATCAAAATTTCTTGGTCAAACCAAAATAAATGATTACTTAAAGTAATGTCATTATGAATAATAGCTACATTACTTATTTATTACATTATATATTATAATATATAATGTAATGTATAATGTAAAATATTATATAATATATTACATTATATTTAAATGCATATACATATTGTTACGGCCTACGGCTGCTCCCTTAAAGGATCCAATCTTCAGGGGCCATGAGCTGAAGATTTCCCGAACAGACGTAGGTCGGGCCCCAATGTGGCCACGTGGAAATTCCTAATTACATTAAAATATATGGGGGAGCGTTATACTACGGCCAGTCGACCGGAAGGAATTTGGATGAAGCTTACTTACCTATCCAAGGCGACTGGTCCCTCCGGAGTCGGTCAGGTCGCATGTGGTTGTGTAGTGCAAGGGAAGGAATGGTGATGTGGTGTGTATCTGGGTGTGACTGATGGTGATTGAACCTAGACCTTGGCCGTCGGCAGCAGCCCGAGCGTCGACACCGCTCCAACTTGAGGGCGCCTTTCGAGGTAGTCCACAGTCACTTTCTTCTTTCGTCACGTTGCCAGTCAATTAACTCTATCGTACGATTTACTAACTTACAGAAGCCACTAACTATCGCTGGGTATAATGGTTACCGCACAAACGCACACGGAGTTTAAAGGGTCAAAGGTCACTACCGTTTCGCGTAGCAATAGCTAATTCTAGAATATCAGAGGCAGCACTATCTAATATTGCCGAATGCACTTATGCAGGTTTTGAGTCAGACACAATAAGTCCCGGGAAGCTCTCCAGTAGGAATGCGAGTCACAATGATAGACCGTATATTTACTGGCCGCGCCTAATTATTCCGAGTTCCCTAACAGAATGGACCGCGTGCTCACGTCAGCACCGATTAAAGACGACTGACTGCCCTTGGGCGTTTTTCGCACGACCGAAAGTCAAACCGGTATGAATGCACCGCGCCGAGCGCCCTCTCGCGTCAATCCTTGAAAGTGTTTTGCGCGAACACATATGTATAATATTTCTAATAAATCCACCTTCCTAACAAATTTATAAATATAACTATAATTCAATACCTGCACTTACACTTTTCCTATCCCACATAATACGCTTTCCCACTTAAGTCGGGATTTTGGGTGGGTCCCTTCAAAATCGTCTTAAGTGAGTTTTATTGTACTTGAATTACTAGCGTCTATTAAAATGATGTGTCATTTAAAATAAAATAATATTTCTTTCATGGCAAGATAAGAAAACGTCCTAAGGAGATGGATATTATTCCATCTCACTTCTTTATAGCCAGCCGCCAAAGCCGTCTACACTACGCCAGTCATGTCGGAAAAATCTTACACTTTTTCTCCCCTAGCCCCTATCCACCAAATTCGTACCATCTTATAAAGAACTTCGTTCCAAAAACTTTAATTATATGTGGTAATGTTATGTGATTAGCCTATTAAGGCATAAACACTCAAGATTTTTTTTTATTAAGTGCTTTTAATATAATACCGTACAATATATTTGACTTTATAAAAAATTTCAGGATCCATACGATAAAGATGATGCTGAGGCTGATGCTATCTATGAATCAATTGACAAAAGAATGGATGAAAAAAGAAAGGAATACAGAGAGAAACGTCTTAAAGAAGATTTAGAGAGATACCGTCAAGAAAGGTAATTTCTTTTAGCTTTCTAAAAATAGGAAAAAGATAATTACATATATTTATTTATTATTACACCTTTTTACCCCATTATTGCCCAAATTGGGGAGGCTTTGTCATGATCGTCATGCCAATATTCATTGTATTGAAGTGATCATAATATTCATTATCTATTACAGGCCAAAAATACAACAACAATTTTCAGACCTAAAGAGAGAACTCAAAGTGGTGACAGAAGAGGAGTGGGCAGCAATTCCAGAAGTGGGAGATGCTCGAAATAGAAAACAGCGGAATCCTCGTGCTGAGAAATTTACTCCACTACCTGATAGTGTTCTCTCAAGAAATCTTGGAGGAGAGTCTACGTCGTCTATCGACCCAGCATCTGGCCTTGCTTCAATGATGCCCGGTGTTATGACTCCAGGAATGCTAACGCCATCAGGTAAAATTAAAAAATGTTCATATATCATGTGTTTCTTTGACTGGCATTTAACACTGTAAATTATTATCACTTATGTTGTTCCCGGTTTTTGTTGTTTTGTGATTATAGTTTTGTGTTCTTTTAGTTTTACTTTATAAATTGTAATTCAAGATGATAGGCATGTTCATCTAGGACAGGGTTTCCCAACCTTTTTCTGACCAGGTACCACTTTGATGTTTTTGTAGTTAGCAGGGACCACAAGACTACAAAAAACTGTGTTAATCTAACAATAAATTACAAACATAACTTTAAACATAATTATATGTATAATAAACTAAAGAAGCATTCATCAACAGTATTATTTGTGTATTCATTGTAAAAGTACCTACACTTACTAAAGTGACGTGCGGTGTTGCACTGCCAGTGTAACAAGAAAATAATAAATGTGTTATTTAAAACGGTCATCATCATCATCATTAGAGCCCTTCACAAGTCCACTGCTGAACATCGGCTTCCCCCAAGGAATGCCATAAAGCACGGTCCTGAGCCACCTGCATCCTTCGACTTCCTGCATGTCTTACCAGGTCGTCACTTCATCTAGAGGGGGGACGCCCTACACTTCGCCTGCTGGTACGAGGCTGCCACTCGAGAACCTTTTTCTCCATCTGTTGTAGGTTCTTCAAGCTATATGGCCGGCCCATTGCCACTTCAGCTTACTAATCCATTGGGCTATGTTTTTCAATCCGGTTCTACTACAGATATCCTCATTTCTAAGCTTATCGCAGAGAATCCTCGTTCATACCCCTGAGCTTCCATACGGCCAGCAGTGAAGGACTATGTCTCAGATCCATAAGTCATCACACTGGTTGTACAATCTCGTTTTCAAGTTTTGAGGTATATTTGACGAAAAGATGTGTCGTAATTTCCCGAACGCTGCTCAGCCGAGTTTAATCCATTGATTAATCTCTAGGTCGAAGTTGAACTTACCTAGTCGGAATATTTGTCCCAGATAAACATACTCATAAACAACTTTGAGCTTAGTGCTCCCAACAACTACCGGCACGGTGACATGGACGTTACACATGATCTTGGTTTTGATCTTTGTTTTGTCCATGTTCATCTGAAGACCTATCCGTTGGGAGGCGTTATTGAGGTCGTTCAGCATAGTGCTTAGGTCCTCCAGCGATTCTGCCATAAGGACTAGATCGTCGGCAAATTGAAGGTGAGTGATGTACTCGCCATTGATGTTAATACCGTATCCTTTCGAATCCAGTAGCTTCAAAACATCTCCCAATGTATTGGTGAAGAGTTTTGTGGATTTATCTTAACCTTGTCTTATACCTTTCTGCAGTTGGATGGATTTAGTACTCTGGTTTTGTATTAGAATAGCCATCGTAGCATTACTGTACAAAGACTTCAGCACTTCAATATACCGACAGTCAGCTTGGCACCGCTGAAGGGACTGTAGCACCGCCCAAATTTCGACGGAATCAAAGTGGCATATTGAACTTTTCGGTCTTCTATGCAATTTGCCGAATGGTTGTTCAGGAGGCTGGAAGTCTTCGAGTCTGCGTGCGAGGCGATTCATAATGACTCTCGAAAACAGCACGTAGACGCGGCTCAAAAGAGAAATCGGTCTGTAGTTTTTCAAGAGAGCGTTGTCAACAAGACCAGCACACCTCACACCTCTGGAATAGTACCACCATGGAGGACAGAGTTAAAGAGCTTCTAAAGGACTTCAAGTACCGGTTTCCCACCCGCTTTCAGAAGCCCCGTTGTAATTCCATCCTCGCCTGTGGCCTTGCCTCATTTGAGGTGCTGGAAAGCCATTCGAATCTTACTCGGACTGACGTCCGGAATATCATCGTAATAGTATCGGTTAAGATTTGCTCCATGATGTGTACAGCTGCCCATAGAACCTCTCAATCTCACTCAAAATCTTAGGTGTCCCGGAAACGATGCTGCCAAACTTGGTCTTCAGCTTCGACAGTTAGCTCTTTCTTGCAGACAGATCTCGGGCAAGGACTTTGGAGCCCTGGTTCTGCTCGATAGCTTCTTCAATATAAGCTGTATTGAAGTGGCGTAAGTCCCGCCGCATGCGTATGGAGAACTGTCTGTTTATTTGCCTGTATGCTGTCAAATCTGCTGAAGACTGCAGCTTCATTTCCCGTCTAACAGCAATGAGATTAAGATTGTGATCGGAGAGTTTTTGTGTTCTTCTGCGACGGGTCTTGCAGAACTTAGCTCCGACCGCATGGACAGTTTCCACGAGCTTGTCATTCATGTCGTCCATTGCATTGTAGTTCTCTAAGCGCTGAAAATGGTTTTGTAACTCGATTTTAAACGATTAGTAAAATATTTAAATCATTCGCGGATCATATTTAAGATCTAGTGGGCCATGGGTGGCCCGCGGACCTCCCATGGTTGGGAATCACTGATCTAGGAGAAGCCTATTCACTATTTTTGATGGGACCAATGTGACACTGATTTGAAATTATGTACTGACCAATCCATTGCTGTATGCACTTTATACTTTGTCACCAAATGTTTAGTGCACATTCACAAAATTTCAATAAAAAGGACATTGCATCTTTTCAACTGGTGTAAACGAAAAAAGGAATTAAAGAATACAGTTTAGACTAACAGACAGGCAGTTTTACGTTAATTGCTGAGAGTAATTCTACAATAATTTTGATATTTCCACTTCATTTCTCATTTTAGTAAAGTTGGTAATTTTTGAATGTTTACATATATCATTATACTGATGAGGCATTTTGTTTTAACAGGTGACTTGGACTTAAGAAAGATTGGTCAAGCAAGGAACACTCTCATGACAGTAAAACTATCACAAGTCTCTGACTCTGTTACTGGACAAACGGTTGTCGACCCTAAAGGGTACCTGACAGACTTGCAGTCTATGATCCCAACATATGGTGGTGATATTAATGATATTAAAAAGGCCCGCTTGTTGTTGAAATCTGTCAGAGAAACTAATCCGAATCATCCTCCCGCTTGGATTGCCAGTGCCCGTTTGGAAGAAGTTACAGGTAAAGAAATAAATATATTGGATATGAGATAATTTAATTTAAAAAAATCTATAACTAAGTAAAAAAGTTATTGAACGTAAGGATCTTCCACAGATTGTCATAAATCTTGATTGTGTGCCACCTGCGTCCATTCGCTCCTTCCATTTGTGATCTTAGCTAATATTGTTAAAACAAAAGTGTTCTACCATCTTAACAAAAAAATCACAGTAAAGCTTCATATACTGTGCACTTTAACAACGCAATGTCACACATAGACATTGTTCACGAACATGGAATAGCACGTGCTGGCGCTACAGTCGCACGCTTCTCGACGATTTTGTTGTTATTTTTGCTTTACGATTTTTAAGTGAAATATAGCAATATAAATTATAAAAACTTGTTAATTTAATTTTGTTAACTTGTTATTGTTAATGTAATAAATTATTATTTGGCACTTCTGTTACCCATCCATCTTGAATAAATTCTGCTCTTCAGTGTGGAACAAGCGTACCATATTGCCACGCTTTAGGATCTCTTCCTCAATCATACAACATAATAATCTCAAATAGTGTTTGTCATAATAATATTACAATAGGCATTTTATAAAATAACTTTTGAACTAAAATCATATTTTTGTTAAAAGGGTACCTACACGAAATACAAGTTTTGTTACCTACAGTGGTATGTTAAATTTTAGCTCAATTAATCGGATATCGGATAGTCAGTCAAAATGCACTTACAATATTTTAATCGGAAATACAGATAAACGAATGAAGCAAGTTAAATATAAACTTCTGATAAACCATTACTATGTTTTACAATTACAACATAATACCTATTAATTATTACTTTTCTGCATCACACTTTTTACGTAGGTTGTAACCATCAACAACCTAGACCTAGAGACCTAGCACTATGGTCTCGTATGGTTATGATGAGTAAAGTACATGCAGGAGCTCTACTTCTGTGGTCTCTTTATTTTTTAAATAATATTAGCTCTAAAGCAAAATAATATAAAAAAATATTATATATCATACAAATACCTTAGATTCTATTATTTTACAAGGCGATGGAAATAATTTTGTGGTGTTTTTAAGTATACATATTCTTAAAATTCAACGATTTCTTTTATTTAATTAGGTAAAGTGCAATCCGCACGTAATCTGATCATGAAGGGCTGTGAGGTGAATCCCAGCAGTGAAGAACTGTGGCTTGAAGCGGCACGTCTGCAACCGCGCGATACAGCCCGGGCTGTTATTGCCCACGCAGCTAGAAATTTGCCACACAGCGTAAGGATTTGGGTGAAAGCTGCTGATTTGGAGCAGGAGACAAAGGTAAAAAAATATATTTTTTATATATTTCGACCTCTTTGTAGCTAGGTAGCTAGCTTTGAAACTAATGCACATTTTTAGTGTGGGTGACGTAAATGGTTTCAATGGTAAATGAAAAAACAAAGCACTTTGCACTTTGAAAATGGCAGAATAACCAATTTATATTTTATTAAGTCGGATAACCAACTGTGACGATTAAGGCAAATGTCTTATGAATTTATGAATGAGCACTTTTATGAAAAAGGAAGACTGTTATTAACCTGTGAACAGTTGATTGCTAAACATGACTCATTCACACATAGTGAGAGTTTGACATAATCGCTATAATTGCCAGGTGGTTTCGCGATAGTGGTCATAGCTGTTAGCGATTCCTTGAGTTATATTAAAAAATAATTGTGGGTAGTTTTATTTTTTTAAATAATGACATTACTTGTGTACTTGTGGTATGTTTGAGAAATAACCATTATGTTATATACCATAACCTACCGAACACTCTTGCTTATTGATTTCTCAATTTTTGGCTAATTTGATGACCAGAGATTTTAACTTCATTTCTATAAACAGGCAAAACGTCGTGTTTACCGCAAAGCTCTAGAGCACATACCAAATTCAGTGCGTCTCTGGAAAGCGGCCGTTGAACTAGAAAATCCAGAGGATGCGCGAATTTTGTTATCACGAGCAGTGGAATGTTGTCCAACTAGTGTGGAGCTGTGGTTAGCTTTGGCCAGACTTGAAACTTATGAAAACGCGCGAAAAGTGCTTAATAAGGCTCGTGAAAATATTCCAACTGACAGACAGATTTGGGTGACTGCTGCTAAGCTTGAGGAAGCCCATGGTAAGTTAATATAAGAATTTTTGATACTTTCAGCATATACCAAAAAGCGTAAGAAAAGCTATGAGAGTACTTTTTACACACACATGCTACTCACGCACGCTCGCACGCAAGCACGCACGCAAGAAGTACGCATGCACGGCAGATACATACTCAACACACATTGAATTTAACTATGTATGATATATGAACCTACCTATCGGGTGATTTGTCAGCTAAACATATAAAAACTTGTATGCAGTGGAACCAAGAAATAAATATCTTTGACTTTCCATTGTGCAGTCGTTTGTTCAATTGAATGTTTTTATTGCATATACGTATTTTGTTCATTTTAATGCCTAATGTCTTTTTTGAAGGTAACACTCATATGGTGGAAAAGATCATAGATCGTGCAATAACATCCCTCAGTGCCAATGGTGTGGAAATCAACCGAGAGCATTGGTTCAAAGAAGCTATGGAGGCTGAAAAATCTGGAGCGGTGCATACTTGTCAGGTACAAATATGAATATAAGTATCATTTAATTTAATTAAATAAGTCTGAATATCTGCAGTCTGTGACAATATTCAGAACCAACTCGTACACCGTTACAACTCGTACACCTACTAAAGACGATTGCAGTGAGGTTTTTAAAATTAAATTATACACCAAAAATTAATAATTTTAAACTGAAGGTAAGCGTGGTTAACTATGATATTGGAATGTCTAACACCTCAGTCGCCTCTAAAAGTCGGCTCGAGGGTAAGCAGAGTCAGTACTGCTTTACAGGGTGTGACTGTAAAGCATTCTGTTCTCTTCCTCGGGAGTGCTAACGCACCTGTAGCCTTCTTAGTTTTAAATTGGTTCTTAATTATCTACGTTTATTGTTAGTTCGTTCAATCGTTTATATGTATTGTTTGTATTTCAGGCGATCATACGAGCAGTCATCGGTCACGGCATCGAACCAGAGGACCAGAAACACACGTGGATGGAAGATGCCGAAGCTGTATGTATAAATTATTCTCAATACCGAATAACTTTATTGCATTCCATAGGTTACCAAAGGTGTTACATGGTTTTATAGTATCTCTATGGGCCCTGATGGGCACAACAATATTATGAAAGAGGAACATTTATTTTGTTTTATTATTATTGTTGTTAAATAATCATTTAATATTACCATTTATTATATTATTTAAACATAAACACATTGCATTTGCAATACGGTTATTAGAATTGTTATTTTTAATGTTATTATTATAATTTGTATAATTAGCACAGTTGAATTTATATTAAGTTATTTGAATAATTTAAAATTTTATTAGAATTTTTTATTGTGATTTATTTAGTGGGATAGCATTTCATAATTACCTAACATATTTATATTCACATATCTATATTATATTATTACGAGCTTGGGGTTCGAGACACGACCGGGTGGTCTATACCGGCCTTATGTAGGGCCTCAGACAGTTTCCAGAACCTTCTACTGTAGAAACATCTAGTATGTTCGAGTACATATCAGTCCCGAAATTTCTAGAAGGATCTTGACTCTTCTAGTTTTGCTACTCGATACTAGAGGGCGCTAGTGCTAACTAGTGTTGCCATGTACAAGAAATTAATAGCGACGCGCAACACTGCCCCCTCCTAAGACATGCTCGTCGCCCTTTCCTCACAGCTGTAGCACCTAGGGCTGTATCTTTTTTTGCGGTCGCGAACTGTAGCTTCTGCAACCTCCCTGACGCGATGGGGATAATGATACTGTCGCACGGCTTCCACCTCTAGTGCATGACCCAACGCATTCTTAAGCGTCTCGTGGTGCCCGAGCCTCACAGCAGCTCTGACTTTAAGGTCGCGGATGTCGTCGATGAATATCTATTCCAGGTTCCCTACAATGAGCGCAGGTACAGACTGGTATGCTTTTCGAACCAGCTTCTCCACCTCAAGCGCCCACTGCTGCAGGTTTTCGTTGATGCGTTGCAGCGATCTTTGAGCTGCGCACGAAAGACGTGTTCCAGATGAGCGTCGCCATATCTCGCCTCCAATGCCTCAAGGAGCTGCTCGTAAGTCACTTCCTTACCGAGCGCTACCAGAACCGTTAAGGAATTTTCACGCAGGCCTAGGGTAAGAGCAGTCATGGCCTGACTTTTATTCCAGCCGTTCGCCTTCATGACAGCCTCGAACTGGATTTTGTGTCGACCAGGAGGAAGTCTCGTTGAACGGCGGCACTTTTAATCCACGTAGCGAAGGTGTTGTAGCTACCACGGGAGCTGTAATTCCATCCTCAAGTTTGAGGTCGTCCAGCGTTTTCTTCATGTCAGCCATCATGTTGTCAACTCGATTGTTCACTTGGTTGATTCAGGTTTCAGCTTCCGACAGGCGGTTGTCATGTCGAGCAACCCTATCCTTCACCTCCCTTATCTCTTTCCCGAAGGTAGCGTGAAGGTCCTTCATGAGGCGCATCTACTTTTCCATACCGCGCTGCAGCTGCTCTTCCAAACTACGGGCCTGTTCCTCCTGTCGGCGGGCCTGTCCTTCCTGTTGGCGGGTCTGTTCCTCCTGTCGGCGGGCCTGCTCCTGCAGCATCATCATCAAAGCACCTAAGTCAGGTGCTGCAGATGCAGAAGCTGCTGACGGGCCGGCCTTCATGGTCGGCAACTGGCCCTCCGACGTCTGCGACGTTGCACCACCAAATTGTCTCTGGTCCGTCTCCTATTGGCGTTGACTTTGGGTACGAATACCCTCCGTGTCGTCTTTAGGTAAAATTGGCATGATTTGATCCCACTTCTGACAACAATTGTTACGACCTTGGGGTTCGAGACAACTAAAACTGCCGAGTGAATCACCAAAATTGACACTTTAATTACAGAACACTAATTACAACTTAAGATCACCTAATAATAAAACGCAATTATTCTACTGATCACTTAAGTTCGCAGGTGTATCGCTTCGAAGTATTCGCTTATATCGCCAATTCAATAGGGCTTCAGATAGTTTCCAGAACCTTCTACTGTAGAATCTAGTATGTTCGAGTACATATCGGTCCTGAAATTTCTAGAAGGATCTTGACTCTCCTAATTCTACTACTCGATACTAGAGGGTGCTAGTGCTAACTAGTGTTGCCATGCACAAGACATTAATAGTGGCGCGCAACAATATTATATTTTTCTCTTCTAAAAATTCAGAAGTACTCTAGTAACACTTGTTTATAAGTAGTTGCTTTAATTTTTTTACGAATGGTTTAGGTATAATAGTTTATTGCAGATGATCAGGTACTTGTTGTTGTTAGTTTTACCCCATGTTATAAAAATATATATTATATTTGGTTACGTTTTCGAAAAGTATAATGAAAGCTATCACTATCTACTGGCAGGATGTCTTTCATTTTATTCATTGTTATAAAAAAAAAACTCACCCTTGAGCGCAATCTTTTTCCATGGAAAGATTTGATGGTTCCAAAGATGGTTTCCCTGAATCTTAGGAGATTCAGGGAAAAAGAGTCAGTCACGATAGGTCGTGACTGACTTTCCTATAGTCTCAAGTTAAAATAAATAAATATAGACTTTAAATATAATGTCCTATTCGCAGTGCGCAAATGAAGGTGCGTACGAATGTGCACGCGCAGTATACGGTTACGCACTATCTGTGTTCCCTTCGAAGAAATCAATATGGCTGCGTGCTGCATACTTAGAGAAGCAGCACGGAACTCGTGCCAGTCTGGAGTCCTTGCTGCAGAGAGCTGTGGCACATTGCCCCAAGTCCGAGGTTCTATGGCTCATGGGAGCCAAGTCTAAATGGTTGGCTGGTAAGTGACAATATGTAATTTTATATTTTCGCATATACCACTTATTAGACTTCTCTGTGGTGCATTGGCCATTGAGTTGCGAAACTAAGCACTTAAGTATTTGTATGGGCTACAAAAATTGTTCGTGTATTGTGAGAAAATCCTAGTGCAGGGGTAATTTTTTTTTAAATTAATAAATGAAAGTAGACCTTTTTGACAGAGTCGTCATACATAAATTAGTGTTCTAAAAAAAATTTGAACCATCATCTCGCAACAGATCACTGCTCTACATGGAACTCACGTCAATATTAGTGATGATGATCACAAAAGTTGTCGCAATAATTGACGATCGCAGTATACATCGTCATAAATACTTAATGTACATGTTCACGCCCTTAGTTGCCCCGACAAAAGTCGACTGTATTAGGGCCCATGAGTAACACCTTCGACGGACAACAGAGGGCGGGGCCCAATGGCCTATGGACAATTATTCTAAAACGGCTGACAAGCAAACAAAACCTACCGAGTTCCGAAGGTAGGGTTGACCACAGGGTACCAGTCAGGTGGTAAGTGAGGTGTATGTAAGTAGTGTGCGAAAGTGTGTATAAATGTAAGCTGACATCCCCGATGTAGTCAGACAGCAGATCCACAGGCGCTGCTTTTCTCCAACTGTGCGATCCCTCCAGTGGGCGTTCACCAATTGAAAACTTCTGCTATTATTTCACTATATTAGTTTATCAACTTTATTGTACATTTAATTAACTTCAAATTTAACTAAATCCACGTTAATCGAAATCAAACAAATGACACACGGCACAACTAAAGAACAGTCGGTCAAAGTTCATTATTCCGTGTTCACTTAGCAACAAATTATATCGAGCACAAACGCGATCTCTTCTCAAGTCACAAGGTTCAGCGTTCTCCCGACAAGGCAAGATTCCTTCGTACGATATTAAAAGCTACACAAACAATAACTCGTCGGCGCAAATTAATGGCAATCAATTAATTTAATCACTCAAAACTCAAATTAGGCCTCTTGTCACGTAACGCTTAAAACAGACAACTCAATTCGAGGCGGTCTTAACCGGACCCAAATATTCGATAGTAAATTCAAAACGACGCGCACAATTCTTGACACCAGTCGCGCCCAACCTACTAACGGTCGCAAACAATACTCAAAACGGTAACAACAATAATTATATGAGAGCAGCCTCGTTGTCACGCAAAATGCACGAGATTAGACAACTTCAAATTTAGCTATTCAGAGGAGGCTCCGCGCGCGACTTTTAACCGCCTCATCGACACCGAGCTCGCTAGCAACTAACTCTTCTAGACTCGTCTCGAACGCCGCGCCCTCAAATGGAATGCAAGCGTGAGAGGGGGCTGGCGTGACCTTGGTATCATCGGTGGCACGCGCCGAGTCGAGTGTTTTGAATGTAAGTTTTTAAAATATTACGATTTGGCCTAAACAGTACATGAATATTTTTTTTTAGGTGATGTTCCAGCAGCGAGAGGTATTTTATCATTGGCTTTCCAAGCAAATCCAAACTCAGAGGAAATTTGGTTGGCGGCTGTAAAATTAGAGAGTGAGAATAAAGAATATGACAGAGCAAGAAGATTGTTGGCCAAGGCCCGTGCTTCAGCGCCCACACCTAGGGTAAGATACTTGCCATAAATAATAATCGTTTCTTTTTGGTTAGTAATAAAAAAAAGAAATAATAATAATAATGTCCTCCAGACCGAATTACGGTCACGGCGGCCAGTCTCAACGGTGACTAGCCATCGGCGTTGGACAGGATTATAGTGAACGAGTATATGCGCAAGCACAGGTGCATTCTCCTCTCATAGTGCGATGGGAGGTTAACTGACACGACCGGAGAGAGATCAGGCGCAGGACCCACGGCTTTGGCTTTACGTGCTTTCTGAGACACGGAGGTGAGACACCGCCAAATTCCTGACTCCGGGTTATTCTTCAGCTGACTTTGACAGTGGACTACTGATTCTGTTACTGAGAATTTCATGACAGAAAAATCCAATAACCGATATTGGTCCGAACCAGGATTCGAACCCGGGTCCTCGTAATCAGCAATCGCGTTTTTTTTTATAGGATAGAGTGACAAACGAGCACACAGTCCACCTGGTGGTAAGTGGTTGCTGTGGCCCATAGACATCTACATCTATCCTCGTTTGCGAATCAAAATGCAGATGCGTGCAAAAAGTGTCTCCGGTTCTCTACACTCACCATACGAAACACAGCAGTGTTAAGCTGCTATTTTACGCTGGTATTCTGTGAGAGCGTGGTCCTTCCCCGGTCGAACCCACCTATTAGTGCTACAACTATACTACTAATATAGCTGCAGCGTGGCTCTACCACGTGCGTTTACGAACACTAGACACCAACGAAGCAGTCAAAACAAAGAAATATTCAATATGTATCATTTACTTTCATTCATCATCATAATTACATACAGACCTTCAAAGGTCTGTATGTAATTATGATGATGAATGAATGTAACTGCTGAACATAGTTCTCCCCCAAAAAACACACACAAAACACGGTCCTGAACCAACTGCATCCATCGACTTCCTGCATCTTACCAGACCGCCTCACTGTCTAAAGGAGCTTAGGCATCTAAGGGGATCGCCCTATACTTTGCTAACTGGTACGAGGCAGCCACTTCAAGAACCTTTCTTCCCCATCAGTAGCGTTCTTGAGTTATATGGCCGGCCCATTGCCACTCAACTTACTGATTGCCATAATAAAACGAGAGAAATTAAAAAAAATAATAAAATAAATATCTGTTATGTATTTTCATCCTATCTTTGTGAAATGCCAGAAAAAGGCTTTCAATAGGGTGCGGTATCCATTTGTTTAACGCTAGGGTTGAAATAACTAGACCGGCGACATGCAGTTGTGAGACGTCTGGTGTAGGCCTGCTCAAGTGTAACGAGTAAGGCAAATTTTCCCTACAACCGTAGTTTACTATGTCCAGCTGTGGACTTTTACAGACTGATAAAACAGAAAGAAGTAGAAAATTACCTTATTGAATTGACTGCTTAATTTAAAAAAAATTCTGTACGCATTTCTTATTGCAATTCGTTACTGTTTTTTGTTTAGGTGATGATAAAATCAGCTAAATTAGAATGGGCTTTGAACAACTTAGACGAAGCGCTAAAACTGCTGGAAGAGGCGATAAAGGTGTTTGGTGACTACGCGAAACTCCACATGATGAAGGGAGAGATCGAGGAGCAACTGGGCAAGGACGACGACGCGCATAACACTTATACGCAAGGAGTAAGTTTTACTGAAATGTTTTAACATTAATATTTAACAATAAAAAATTATTCGTGTACGAAGTGAAACTTCTTTACGACATGTCGTTATTATTTTATTTTATATTTTAGTGGTGGTTTCAGTGGGTTAAATAATAGTATACTCATGCAGCCCCAGATGTGAAACGTTATAAGAACAAGTGGTAAGATAAAAAATTTTGTACAACCGACTTTAATATTAATTATTGAGGATAACTCAAAAAGAGAACATCATCAATGTAGACGAAGTCAATTAAAAACGCATTATTAAGGATAACTCAAAAACTACTGGTCACACCTTGATCAAATTATATGGGACCACATGAGAAGCCACCGGCTTTCAAATAATAAAAGAATCATCTAAATCGGTACAACTAGGAAAATGTTATGAAGTAACACACATAAAAAAGAACATACCGTCGAATTGAGTACCTCCTCCTTTTTGACGTCGGTAGAAGAGTGACGTTTTTGTTTTTTTTTAATACCGTATTAAATTTCTCTACTACGTCGATAACGAAGTTTCACTTCGAAAACTTTATTTATGTAAGTAGTCTATTTTTCTAAGTAGATCGCCGTATCTTCGAATTTTAAGTTTCTGACCAACCAAAGGTTGCCAGAAATTACCGTTTTAAGCGTTGGCGGGACCTTATGGTCGCCCTTGCACAACTCATTTAGATAGTATGTATATTTTATTTGTGTTTTGTTAAACTCAAAGAGTCATAGTTTTTTTCCTTATTTATTAAAAATCTATAAATCCCTGAATTTCGTCAACAATTTGCAGATTATAAATAGAATTATTGTATTTATCCGGAAATCATAAAAATATGTCGACATTTCCTTATTACATTAAAATTAATAAGGACGGTTCTTTTATTTGAACTTATCTTTCAGTTGAAAAAATGCGCTACCAGCGTTCCAATGTGGATACTACTATCAAGGTTGGAAGAGAAATTGAAACATGTTACTAAAGCTAGGTCTGTGCTTGAAAAGGCACGCCTAAGGAATCCTAAAAATGCAGAGCTATGGTATGTTTAACACTTTATATTAAATTTTGTAATTTAATATTAGTTTTTATTATGTATGTAATATAATATTTTAAAAAACAAGGCAATTTTTCTTAAACGGAAACAAATGGTTCAATAGTATAGAACCATTGATAAAACAACAGTGTAATTAAGTCTTAAATTTTTGTCACGTTCTTACTTTTCCATATAGAATACTCTCAGGAAAATTAAAAACTTGAACATATATTTAACTGAATTTTTTTTTACTTTTTTTTAATAGATTGGTAACTCTATTACACTTTCCAAAAATGCCGAATGCCTTTGCCCAACAGTAAGTTACTGCCAGGCTTTAACTGTCTAACACATATAATTTGACGGTTATATTTTTGTAGGTTAGAGAGCGTAAGACTGGAAAGGAGAAACGGCAGTGCAGAAATAGCAAATGCCGTCATGGCGAAAGCTTTACAGGAGTGTCCGAACGCGGGCCGCTTGTGGGCAGAGGCCATATTTATGGAGTCACGGCCTCAGAGGAAAACTAAGAGCGTGAGTATTGCTGATGTTTCCAATCTCTTACCTGAGACGGCCTTAACATGATTTAATTTTTTTCGCATTTATTTATTTATTTACTAGCTGTTCCCCGCGACATCGCCCGCGTGTATTTTAGGGTTTTAATTATGTTGCGCAGAACCCTAATTCTTTTTGTAAAATATAAGTATCCTAAGTTACTTCTTATAACAACAGCTATCTGCCAGTGAAAGTCCCGTCGAAATAGGTCCTGCCGTTTCGGATATTAACCGGAACAGACAGACAGACAGACAAAAATTTTAAAAATTGTGTTTCTGTTATAGGTACCGTATATCTTTTATATGCAATTAGTAAAACGCTGTTATTTTGACATTACAAACAGACACTTAAATTTTATTTCTTTGTATAGATAACTTGATAATCATCCAATCATTATTTTTCTGTTGTCTGGTTTAACAAAATATCTGCCAATTTCAAGTATGTTATGGCATTAATAAATTCAAATTCAAATTCAAATCGTTTATTGCGAATATAGGTTGATACAGTTGGTGTTTACATAGTTTATCACTTATAGAACAAACATTTAGTACAGCTATATTCCGCCATTTGGCATGCAATGTCCATCACATTTTATTACTTTTATATTAAATTACTTAAACATACTCTAGTTAAAATTGGAATTAACATGATACAAAATCAAAAATAATAGCGATAAGTCAATTTAGATAATATTGTATAAGTCAAGTCAATTTAGTTATTCTCAGTCATGTAACAGTCAATTATTGAATTTCATATTTGTCTTCGAGATATTCTTTCACACTGTAGTATGCCTTATTAAGAAGAAATTGCTTCAATAGTATTTTAAACTTATCTATATTGGAGCATCTCAAAATGTGTAATGGTAAATGGTTATAAATTCTAGGGGCCATATAAAATACACTGTTGTTAAATTGGGCTGTGTTGTTTGATGGAAAACATATTTTTTGATTATTACGTTTACTGTGTAGGCACTCAAATAAAGAAATATGCGTAGTAACAAAAACGGCTATCTCATATATATAAAGGCACGGAAGTGTTAACAGTTTCAGACTAATAAAAAATGGTTTACAACTATCTGTCTGTTTTAACTTCACAATGGCTCTTACACATCTTTTTTGGGCTCTAAATATCATTTCATTATCTACAGAGTTACCCCATAAGATGACACCATACCTTAAGAGCGTAGACGGGCAGCAATTTTTCCATACAAATGTATTCCCCTATTTTCTTCCTGGATAATGCCTCTAGAGTAATCGTTTTTGTTTATAAAAATCTAGGTATATTGAATCCATGCCCCTGTCATTTATTTTTTTCCAAAAGATTATTACAAAAATAAATATGACTTTGCAAAAACCTAAAAAAATGCCCCGTTTTTACCTCCGTAATCAGACGACTACCAAACAAATTTGAAAAGTTTTTAAGATAAAAACAAGTAATAGGAGCATAGATCTATTCTTCCTTTAAATTTTGATACCAAAAATAATATAATCGGGTTAGTTTTCGAGGAGAAAACAGGAGAATACGAAATGTCGATTCGGTCATGGTTTTTATAGGTAAAATCGTTCTGACCTGCAGTTGTCCCTATCGCACTCTACGGGGGGAGAACAGAGGTGAGGGATGGTTAGACTAATAAGTACTTATTAGTCTAAACAATTAGGAAAGTGACAATTATCGAAGTTTTTATCGATATCATAGTGATGTCAGTCGATATCGACGTTTATCCTATACTGATTTATAGGCGGCACAGAACCTAACAATTCAGTGAGTTTACGTTTAGTATTATTCGAAAAGACCTTTAGCGAACTTTAGTGAAATAATACGTAACTAATGTTCGCATTCTACTGCTTGGTGAATAATTCTGCTTACTTGATTTGCCAGCTTTACTGGGGAGTTTATAAAATAATGACTGCTCTTATCAAGTAAATTCTTAATATTTATGTGGCAAAAGAGGTGCCTTTGGGTATTTTAAATAAGTTAAGAATAATTATATATATGATAAGTAATATAATAATTAATATGTACATTTATTCTGTCGTCATTTCCATACTTTCTCTTACAGGTAAATTTCGTGGTATCCGACCGTCAATTATTTCAGGGAGAAGGCATTCGTGGAAATTTTTTCAAATTTTGGTTCCATGTTTTGCCAAAATTCCTCGTCTTTTTCAATTTTGTTCATAGAATACACCCCTGGGGCTCCACAAAACAAAGTAACAAAATCTTCGGCATGTGATGTACAATTGGCCTTGTACTTGATAATAGTAGTTGTGATTTCTTTTTATTAACTTGTCGTTGTGGAGTATTAAATCGGCAAATGTGCAGCCTAAATGATGGTGCTAAATGTTTGAAATAGAAGACAAACAAATATTTTATATCTACATCTCTGCGTCCTGATAACTTGTCGTTTTGAATTTCTTCATTATGGGGACCATCATCGTCATCACAAACTAAATGCAAGTCATTGAATGTAGTGGTCGACGTTGAGGAGCTATTTTTACATGAGAGGGGGCAAACGAGCATGTGGTTCATCTGATGGTAAGTGACTACCGCCGCCCATGAACTACTGCAACACCAGGGGCAGTTGCGTTGCCGGCCTTTTAAAAAGGAGAAGGCTCTTTGCTTCAAGGTCCCTAAGTCGTATTGGTCTGGAAAAATCGCTGATGGTAATCGATTCCACAAGGAAGTTGTGTGAGGAAGAAAACATCTTCTAAATTGCACAGTTGTGGACCGCCAATCATTCAGATGTGCGTTCGTGAAATTTGGCGGCTGGGATTAATCCGAACAATTCCTCAGAGCACTCCCCGTGGTAAATGCGAATGAAAATGCAAAGGGATGCAACATCTCTTCGCAGCGCTAATAAATCGATCCTCAGGGGGAGCCTCAGCCTAGAGATGGGAACAGTATTCCATGTGAGGCCAAACCTGCGCCTTGTAAAGTTGGAAGCGGTGTGCCGGCATGAAATACTGTCACGCTCTGCTGAGCACGCCAAGCTTTTTAGAGGCCAATTTGGCCTTCTCTTCCAAGTGACCACGAAACTGCACGTCACTCGATATGTCGACGCCGAGGATCCCTCCCCTTGGACTCTACTACCTCCGCCCATCTATGAGTCAGGTAGACCAGAATATCACCAGCTGATCGACCCCGACGAAAAAAAAGATTGCGTTTTCTTCAAAAGGCCCTCGACTCTCTCTGAAGTTGCATGAAAAAAACATTTAAAAGTGCCTATGCAATTTGAGTGTTTCACATGATTTTTCTGGGATCCCATCATCAGATCCTGACTTATACCTTTCATCATCAGCTCAGCAACATGATATGGTGATTACCAGGTATAATGCCTACATGTGTCTATAAAGTTTGGAGAGTTCCCTCGATTTATCCATGATCCCTTCATTAGATCCTGACATGATGACCATGTGAACACATGAGAAGTATGTTGTTTCAAACAATACCCATAAAATTTGTGGATTGCCCTTAATTTTCTTGGGATGCTATCCATCCTAACTTATACCTTCCATCATCATCTCAGCAACATGAGATGAAGATTACCAGCAAAAATTAATATGATATTATGATTATATTTATAAATTGAAATTTTATCAAAAAAATTCAATAATTTAACAAAACACGACTTGTACTTTACAAGCAGTGTTTTGTTAAATTATTGAATTTCTTTTGTCGATTTGAAGGTAAAATGATAAAATTTATTTACAAATAAAATAATACTCATAATTTTTCTCTAGTCGTTGGAACAAATTGGTATTCAAATTCAATCCACAAGCCGAGTCAAAACAGTGAAGCAAAAAATCAAGTCCGTAAGCATGGTGCGCGCGGAAGATGCGTGTTACTGCGCTACGCACACAAATACAGATTATTCACTCACATATTGATACCTCGGTTGCTCGGGCGCAGTGCGACGGCAATAGTTTCTTCAAATACCTATTTCTCAATTCCCGCGCAGACCGACTACGCTCTTAACACCGATTCTACATAACCGTGGTACGCAGTGATGACGGCAGATTGATTCACAATTGTTCCAAGTCTATATAGAGCATAAGAGAACCGATTGAGTTTAGTACAAATATCTTCCACTTGAGATTTCCATTTTAAGTTTGAATCGAGATTGAGGCCTAAAAATTTTGCATTTTCGACTACATTAATTTCTTGTCCGTTGTAGCAAATATTAATATTTATTAAATTATTTTTCACGTTTCTAAATGTCATTAGATTTGTTTTATTTAGATTAATTAATAAATTATTATTTGATAACCATTGAATTATTATGTCTAATGTTTGATTTATATCAGATATCATTTGATTTTTGCTTGTGCTTGTAAACATCACTGTGCTATCGTCTGCAAATAGTACCATATCTTGATTTATATAATAATACGTATTAATAACTAACGGCTATCTACTAATACGTATGTAAATACAGATAAATGGTTTTAAGAGCGTCTTCGATAAATGGCGATATAATCGTTCCTTATTTAAATTATATTAAAAACAACCACACCGGTGACGGCAAGCAGAAACAAAAGTGCGGACCGTACTATTGCGATCTCTAACCAGTATGACGATTACGACAAATCCTTCCTTCTGGGGACGGACCATGTCAATCAGTGCTTATTACAGAAGAGAAAACACACAACGGCCTTCGCGTCTTTTGCAGACGGCTTAAGCTGTGTGTGACATGTGACATTTTTTCTTATAACTATGATTACTGATGTGAGAGCGTCCACACATTGTGCAGACGTGTGACACGCATGGAATATTGTCGCTTTAATTAGAGTTTGTTAATAATCAATTGTGCTGGAGAAGAGAAATGAGTCCAAAAAACTGCCATATAAGACCTTTATTTAGTATAATTTCGATTTAAAAAAAAAACAAGGTAATAAAAATATAATTTTTTTATTTCCGTGTGTTTAGGTGGACGCCCTAAAGAAGTGCGAACACGACGCACATGTGCTGCTCGCCGTGTCGCAGCTGTTCTGGACTGAGAGGAAACTGAACAAGTGCCGCGAATGGTTCAACAGGACGGTGAGTGCTATAGCTATAAGATAAATATTATACTAAATATTTATAAAGAATAATAATCTATCAATTAAATGATGCAGCACTTATTTAGATGTAGTCGTTGGCATAAAAATGTGCCTGGTGGACGGACAACTGGTGATGTCCTCTGACTAAGCGAAAAAATATTTATTTAATACTAGCGATCCGCCCCGGCTTCGCACGGCAATCGCACGGTGATTTCTGGATCTCGACAACAGCGCCACCTACCGGGTCCAATTGAGAATCTAAACCATCCAGGGACCCACACAAACGTAAACAAAAATTTTCATCAAAACCGTTCAAGCTGTATTCTAGTATTAGTGAGGTTAACGGACAGCATTTGATTTTTATATATTGAGATAATATACCTATATATTTAACGTACATCGTACTTGGTGATAAGACTTCTTTTTTGCCTAGAACTCCGTCTAGGTACGTTGTGTGCCACTAATCAGCAATGCGTGCACTGCTGTGTTCGGATCTGAGATGTATAGAGACAATATAATCAATAACAAACTGTGAGGCATTCCATTCCTCCAATGTGACGACGCATCGCTTTCGCTTAGCTTGAAATTGATTGCAGGTGTCATATCAGCATCAGATGGGCTGTAAGTTCGTTTATCACTTTAGTTTAAAAAAAAGCCGCCCAAGTGCAAGTCGGAATCGTGCATTAAGGGTTACGTACCATCGTAAAACACGTTTCTATTAGGGGAGCCCCCTTTAATTTTTAATTTATTTTTATTATTTGTTGTTAACGCGATAACATATACATTTGTAAAAAATTTCAACTGTCTACCTATTACGGATCATGAGACACAGCCCACTGATAGACCGACGGACGGATGGATGGACAGCGGAGGCTTAGTAATAGGGACAAACGGGAGTTGGTTACCCTTTGGGTACGAGACCCAATAAAATGGTGATTAAAAGATATATATATATATATATTACTGCCCACTATTAAACCTTAACACTGCTACTTAATAGCGATGGGTCGTCGACGTATTTGTCATTAACGAAACTAGACCGTCCATTTTCGTTCATCGACTAGTCGCTCAACTAGTTAAATTTGTCAACTAGTTTACGCGTCAATTTGGTTTTGCAGACGTTTAAATTTAAACTCCGCGACGTCCTCTATGGCTCGACATAGTTGACCCTACGTAGACCGTAGACTAGTATAACGGCATGATGTATTAAGTCGTCTATCATTAAGTCGCCCTTCTCTTTTGCACACGCGATTATACCATGACGGCATCCTTTTCTCCACCTAACACAATAACAAACTGCTGTTTATACTCTTACGCTGTCTACATTTAGAGTTCTAATTTGTATGCGCAATTATGTCATTTCAACGAACATAATATTATCCGACCGAAATGAACGTTATAGAGTTTCAATTTAGCCGTCTACGGATTCGACTAGTACATTGATTGTTCGTAAACAGTCTACTCGTTCACAGTAAGTCGACGGTCGAATCAACTAGTTCGATCATTCAACGCCCAGCGCTACTGCTTAAGGCTTTAACTAGCCTGAATGACCTTGACGAAACGGCGATCGCAGAGATTTTAGCCGACGTCAACACCGTCTAGCAACTACGTTCTGTATTACTTATAAAAGTGCAAAGATTAATAGACTGCAGAGCTGACAATTATATAAGTGACATACTGCCTGTTATACTTGCGCATCACTGAGAATTATGTAGCGGTTACGCATCATCAATTAAATTGTGCTGTAGCTTTGTCGGGTAGGCGTCACGAGCTATCAAGTGTTCAAGTTTCAAGTACGTAAGAGTTTTTTCATTATATATGTTAAATCGTATTTATTTGTATCGTATTAGTAGATCTAGGTAAAAGCGTTCGCTGTAAATTTTCCCGGGTTTGATTCCCGACAACACGAATGAAATTTGTAATTGCAATTTTCGTCAACACGCATTGGGGAAGCACGGCGGGCATTTCCTTGCCCGAAAACCCTCTCAGAAATAAAAAAGAGTCCTGTGCCCAGTAGAGGGACTTGTATAGCCTATTACTTTACTTTGTAGCAATATTTATATTCGTATCAGATATAGAAGAGTACCTTATGCTGACAAAAATATCATGTGGAGGCGACGAAAACGTAAAACATCTTTGTACCTAGATAAAACGTTCGAAAGATTGTCAGTCATGTCATACGCCACATTTTCTATAGAGCGTAGAACATTGCAGATAGGGCAAAATAAAAATAATCCAAAATATTATGGGAACTATTTATTAATAATATATACATTTATAGGTATTTATAATAAAAATAATGAACAAGCTGCAAGGTTCAACTAATAATGTTTTTTGTAAACACAATTGTAAAATTCCTGTTTTAATTTTTACCAATGGTTAATTGATGAAACGTAGTCAAGATCACTTCATATAAAATATATCTAATTAAAATTGACACATGACCTATTTGGCCTTCTACTTACAACTTGGCGGAAATTTGAAAAGAAGATTTTGTCTTTTCACACAAGTATTGTTTACAACTGGCGTGGTTTCGAAAAGCGTGATTAAGTGTCAGCGGTATATAATCAATTAAATACTGAACTTTTTTGAAATTTATTTTTTTGTTTATTTTTGTCATATCTTCTTAAAAACTGACGCCATCTCACTATTTTATTATTTGTTTTTTTTTTGTAACGCATAAGGATAAGTTAGACTAAGTTAGATTAACTTGGATAAGTTTATAATTTTTTTAATTTTATCACAAAATTTCCGCAATATATTATTACCTTTTCTACAGTGATTCTCTCCTCTTAGTTTCGGCGTGACTGTAGGATGTTATAGTGAGTCACCGTCAGTTACTAAGCGGCCATAAATCATTATATGTATGTATAGACATACATATATACATTTTTGGATTTTAATATTTATGTTTTTTTTAAGTTTGATTGATTTTTGAAAGCTGGTAAAATTATTTTTTTCCATACCAATTGATGGGCCTGAGTATAATGCCAGTTATGCTCTTTGGCTGAAGTTATTTTTTATTTTATGCTTAACTGCAGACAAAACAATATTGATTGTGCATTTCTAAAACAAAATTTTACCTCTTGTCCTTCTAATAATAGCTCCTGTTTTTGTTAACAGTTATGAGTGTAACATTTTATCAGCTGCTTTGTTTATAGTGCCTTGAGCAACACTTTGCCGGTTTCTGTACAGAAAATGATGCTGGCTTTGCAAATATGGATGGCCGCTACCATTGAATATAATACCCGCTATGTTACACTTATTTACATAGAAACTTTAATTATCATTTGCATAAAATTCTAAATAGCACTTTTTATACAAGAAAGTAAACTTTTAGATCAGTCCATCTTGTTTTTCACTAATTAAGTAAAAAGTAAAACAAACCAATAGGTCCGTGATTTAAAATTTTTTGCAACTTTTTATAGAAAAGCATGACCTTATCATAATATAAAAGTCAATCATTTAGCCATGTGATAAGACTTTTAAGTGTGCCAGTCAAACATTAATGATGATATTCGGGTTATTATACTGGAAATAGTCTTTTAAATATTTTGTAGTACAACTGATAATCTTCAGTATGATTGACCGCGTATATGACTTTTATAAGTCTATGTTATTTTTGATGTAAATTATTATTGCAGATAAAAGCCCTTTCACATTTATTTTAGTCTCGAATTAAATTAATCAAAATGAAAATAATAACTTTGGCTCTTTATAACTGATGTTTAAATGTAAAACACTGACTTGAAATTATATAATTATTGGCATTTTTTTAATTCATAGAACTTTTTTAAGATTTTGTTGAAACTCTACTGGTAAAAAATAACCAAATATATATATATATTATAGTTCTTGATGAAAATAATGTGTAGGCGTTACATCGCATCCCATCAAGAATTTCTAATGTAATTCTTGGTGTAAAGCTAAGACGTGATAATAACTGTAAACAAAACATTTACAAAAATACTTGCTTTATAACCTAATAAATATTATTTGACCGTAATAAAATAAAACAAGGTAGTCTTCGGCATGAAAGTAAAAATAAATATTTTCGATTATTTTTGCAATATCTAACAGCCGGATCAGCGCGCGATTCTGATCCATCTAAATATGCTAAATTTCAGCAAGCACTGTCAAATTCAATAGGAGTGACAGAAAAATGGTTCTTGATATAGAAAGGTAAATAAATTATTTAACCTATAAAGTAAAATCACTTTATTACAAATCAAAATAGCCCAATATCTTTATTAACATGAGCTCGTAATTGTACGAGTGCTTACAATAATTAACATTATTTTACTGAAATCTCAGAAAGTTTTTTTTTTAAAAAGAATAAGGGTGACAAACGAGCACACAGTCCACCTGATTGTAAGTGGTTGCTACGGCCCATACACATCTACATCTATTCTCGATCACGTATCAAAATGTAGATGTGTTGTCACCCGTGAGGACTAAGATGTAATGCCTCGTTTCCAGTAAAAAGGTTCTCCGGTTCTCTACACTCACCATACGAATAACATGTAAAATAGCAGGCTTAAACTGCTATTTTACATGTTATTCCGTGAGAGTGTGGCCCTTCCCCGGTCGAGCCGACCCATTCGTGCTACAACTATACCTACTACTAATATAGCTGCAGCATGGCTCTACCACGTAAGAAAAAATTGACGTTGAAAATCTAAGTATTTTTAGAAGCAACTTTGCAATTATTTTCTATTGAGTTAATTTTTGTGGAATCGTGTTTTGCAAACCGCCACCTGAAATACGTACAATTTTTTTTCGATAATGACGTGAAATTACAAAACGATCCCCATGCATTTCAATGTGGCTCTATTCAGCCTCTTAATATGAACATACCCCGGGATTAAGAGATTTTAAAAGTTTTCATGCGTAGATAATGAAAGATATAATATTATATTATTACTGTCCCGTGTGAGGCAACCTTTATACTTATATACATATTCTCATCATATTTTTATGGTTGGTTAGAAAAATTATATCTAAATGCAAACTTTCACAGGGAATTTTTTTTTTACTATATTTACACAGCAAGTAGCAAAGCAACTACAATCCCATTGGTAAGTGGTTATGTAGTCTAAGATGGTGAATTGCACTGACTTAACAAAAACCTATTCACTCTTGCCTATTAGTACTAGGTAAGTATTATTTGCGACCTATTTGTGTGTGTGTGTGTGCGTGCGTGCGTGTGTGTGTGTGTGTGTATGTATGTATGTGTGTATGTGTAAAGAAAAGCATATGAGAATACGTGAAGAGGAATAAAGGTTGAGTACTAATTCGCTTACCTGTACGAGGTTGCCACTCGAGGACCTTTCTTCCTATTTTTTTTCTGTTTTCCAAGTTATATAGCCAGCCCATTGCCATTTCACTGTAATATTCCGTTGGGCTATGTCAGTTACTCTGGTTCTAATGTAAATATCTTCATTTCTAACTTTATCATGTAGAGAAACCCCTCTCCAATTTAAAATGTTTACATTTTTTAGATGATAGTTTGTCTAACATAAAAAAAAAACCATAAACCCAAGAATGTCTTTATATAGTTATTTATACTTAGGTAAGCACCATTCTTTTATTTATTTAAATTGTTTGATTTAATTTGATCACAGTGTACCTAAATGTAAGTATCTGTATCTTTATTTCCCTCCCCACAATATTTTATAAAGTCATACTCATAAAAACAGTGTTTTATTGTAATACATAATTATAATATTCAGTATCAACTAATTAATAAAAATATGCAACAATAAAATTACATAGGTATTAAAAACTATCGAAATCTAAGTAACGGGAGCATGTGGGTCGTTCCACATCTAAATTATATAAAAATGCATTTTTCAATTTCACTAATCAACGTCGCCGCGAAAATTTCTTCTTCTTTGGGCACTTTAAAAATTCATTTATTTAGAACATAATATTTACAGTTACCAGTGTACAGATATTAACTAAATTAACATAAAAATATTTATAATTGAGTATAAACTTGTCCGAAAACGGACTGTGACAGAGCTTACATGGCGACGGAGCATGCGCGCTCGCGTAAATATATTAAATTTCAGGGAAAAATGATATATTCTCTTATAAAACGGGTAATAAAAATAAAACTCTCAATTAAAAATATTAATATTTTTAAGACCTTTTTTTAGTGTAAGAACTATTTAAAAACCTTGTGCCGTTTTGGAGAAATTTTGCAAAATATGACAAAGATAGGTACTCTTTGGGGATTTTTTTTCTAATAAGGGGTTGACAAAAATACAATTTTGTTAAATTAAGAACATTTACCAAATCTTCTTCTGTTACCCTGTATTTTTTCTTTGTGGATTAAATGAACAGTTATTGAGATTTTTTTAATTAAATATCCACGATTTAGGCATTTCAACCACTGTTAAGGCCTTAATAGTAAGAAGGATCTTCCATAATCGACACCGTTGACAGCCAAACTGTCAATCGCAGTAATCTTCGAGTATAATAAACATAGTGTAACTATTACCACAGGTAAAAATTGACCCGGACCTTGGCGACGCGTGGGCATTCTTCTATAAGTTCGAACTACTCCACGGCAACGAACAACAACAGGAAGACGTGAAAAACCGGTGCAAGACCGCGGAACCCCACCATGGGGAGTACTGGTGCCGTGTCTCCAAGGACATCGCCAACTGGTGCTTCAGCACCGAACAAATACTTCTGTTGGTCGCGAAGAATCTGCCCGTGCCCACATAATGTAAATAGAGAATATTTTATCTAGTCTTAAGTTATATTTAAGTACAAAATTCCAATATATCTGTTTTTTATTTCAAGTATACTAACTAGCAATACTATTAAAGACCGAAATTTATGCATAGGATATAATACAACGTAAACAAATTAAATTTAATGTTGTATAAATAAAATATTTAAATTGTTTCAAAAGTTCTGCGAGGAGGAAAACTTCTGGTAAATCGCACATTGGTTGTAGATAGTATCGAATTATGTCGAGATGTACGATGGTGGAATTCGGTGGCTGGAATTAATCAGAATAATTTGTTTGGGCATTTCGTGCGCTAAATGCGATAGTAAATTCAAAGAAATGCAACAACTCTTGGCAGCGTAATCGAATCGAGCTGATCGATTACGCTAATCGAAAGAAGTCTGTTTCGGTAATTCGGGCCGCTCTTTGCTGGATGCAATGGAAGAGTTGGACCTGGGGTAGGTACCCCGGCCCAAAGATAAGAACAGTATTCCATGTGAGAATGAAATTGCGTCTTTAATGCGCCAAGCGGTGTGCCCGCACGAAATACTGTCTCGTTTTACTGAGCACGCCAAACTATTTATAGGTTACCGCTGAACTTAACATCACTCGAATAGTCACGCTGAGGATTCCCATGCCTCAGCCAGGCAATTAGGGGAGTGCCCTGAAATTGAGCAGATACGACAAATGGATTATTTTTAAAGGTTAATGCGCCAACCTGTGTCTTCTGAGGGTTAAATTGGACTAGATTTAGTTGTCCCCAGTCCGAGACTTTACTTAACGTTTTTTTTATAAGTTGTTTCATAAATAACTTGTATCTTTAAAAATATGTTTTATAACTGTACATGGAGTTTTTTTTTTATAAGATAAACGTTACCCCCACACTAGGATTTTCTCCTGTATCGTGGAGGCAGTTTACAAACACAAATTTCACAAGGACAAACATCCAGACCAGGAACAATCATTTATAGGCCAGTTTGATATTATATGGACCACTACATATTTTTTCTGTAAATAAAGTAACTTAACTGATATTTTTATTCTAATCAGCACCCCCAGATACCGCACTTTTCTCCTCTTCCTAGGAAGTCGTCAAGGTAAGTATTCTTTCGCCAAGCAGCAAGATACATACCTACTGCTACGTGTACGATTGAAGAGTAGAAAAATTATAGGCATTGATGCAAAACCCTTTATTTATTTATTATAAGTCAGTACTTGGCTATGACTCCGCCTGGTAGTAAGCGGTCATCTTAATCTCTGAAGGCTGATAAAGCATCTGCGGCTGTGCCTTCTCTATATTCAATAAGTTGCTGGTGTCATAAGGCAGCAGAAGCCACTTACAAACAGGTCTACTGTTAGCTAATTCTTTACTTCAATATTATCAAAAGGCCCAAAGACAAGGAGCTTGTTATTCTTTTTTTAAATAGCGTTTTCTGCGGCTTATAGCGATCACAATAGATCATACTAAATTTCATCTACATTATCTTGATGTGAATCCACCCACCGCGCGTTTTCTAAAAATTTTTTGACACGCAGACCGCATTGTGGAATATAATGCCGGCAGTATTTTTTCGATGGATACAATTCACGGCTTTTCTAGAACAGAGCTTTAGCGTTTTTAAATAGCACGCAACGCATCTTTTTTTTTATAGGAGAGAGGGCAAACGAACATGCGGCTCACCTGATGGTAAGTGACTACCGCTGCCCATGAACAGCTACAACACCAGGGAGGGAATCGCAGATGCGTTGCCGGCCTTTTAAAAAGGAGTACGCTCTTTTCTTGAAGGTCCCTAAGTCGTATCGGTCCGGAAAAATCGCTGATGGTAATCGATTCCACAAGGAAGTCATGTGAGGAAGAAAACATCTTCTAAATCGCACAGTGGTGGACCGCCAATCATCCAGATGGTGTGGATGGTATCGGGAGTTCTGCCGCGATGTGCGTTCGTGAAATTTGGCGGCTGGGATTAATCCGAACAATTCCTCAGAGCACTCCCCGTGGTAGATGCGAAAGAAAATGCAAAAGAATGCAACATCTCTTCGCAGTGCCAATGAATCGAGCCGATCGGAAAGCACTCGCTCGTGACGATTCGAGCCGCTCTGCGCTGGATGCGGTCAAGAGGAAGGAGCTGGCACTGGGGAGCCCCTGCCCAGAGATGGGAACAGTATTCCATGTGAGGCTGAACCTGCGCCTTGTAAAGTTGCAGGCGGTGTGCCGGCATGAAATACTGTCCCGTCCTGCTGAGCACGCCAAGCTTTTTAGAGGCCAATTTGGCCTTCTCTTCCAAGTGACCACGAAACTGCACGTCACTCGATATGTCGACTCCGAGGATTCCGATAGAAGCAAGAAAGGGAGTGCCTTGAAACTGAGGCGATATGAACAAAGGGGTTCTTTTTAGCGGTAAACGCGCAAACTTGTGTCTTCTGAGGATTAAACTGGACTAGATTTAGTCGCCCCCAATCCGATACTTTGTTCAGCAAAGACTCAACTTCAGACACAGGTTTGTTCCGGTACTCGGCGACGTTTTCCCCAGAAATATTGGCACGGTCGGTGTATAGAGCATCACCAGTGCTGTCATCCGCATAGCAATGAATGTTACCAGTTAGCAACTTAGCATTGATATGCAAAAGAAACAGCGTTGGTGATAGCACACAGCCTTGTGGAACACCAGCGTTAATAGGCTTGTAGTCGGAGCATGCACCGTCTACAACGACCTTGATGCTCCGATCTGCAAGGAAGCTGGTGATCCAATCGCACAATTTCTCGGGAAGCCCATAGGAAGAGAGCTTCGAAAGAAGCGCTTTGTGCCAAGCCCGATCGAAGGCCTTCGCAATGTCCAAACTAACGGCCAACGCCTCCCCCTTGGACTCTATTGCCTCTGCCCATCTATGGGTCAGGTAGACCAGAAGATCACCAGCTGATCGACCCCGACGAAAACCGTATTGGTGGTCACTAATCAGCTGGTGATCCTCAAGGTACCGCATGAGCTGGCAGTTAATAATTGATTCCATTATTTTGGAGAACAAGGAGGTGATCGCGATAGGTCTATAGTTGGACGAGTTTGAGCGGTCGCCTTTTTTAGGGATCGGGTGGACAAAAGCTGTCTTCCATGATTTCGGGACTACGCCTTGGGAGTAGGACTACCGGAAAGACGCGTTAGGACCGGTGCACACGTCCTCAGCACAATTGGGGGGATTCCGTCAGGCCCACTCAACTTCTGGATGTTCAGGGAGAGGAGTGCTTTGCGAACCGAGCGCTGTGAGAACAGCTCATCTGGCATGGAGCACTCACACCGCGGGATGGTTGACAGTGTTTCCCCCCCGTCATCAAGAGTCGAGTTGGAAGCAAAAAGGGAGCCTAAAAGCTCGGCTTTGTCTTTTGCGTCTTGGGCCAGTGAGTCGTCCTCCCTGTGCAGAGATGGTAGTGATGGCTTACAGAAATTCCCTTGGACAGCCTTGGCGAGAGACCAGAAAGCACGGGTTCCCGAAGGAAGGCGAACTAGTTAAAGGCCAATTCTACCTATGTGCTCTGACTTTGCCTTGGCAATAACTCTTTTGAAGGACCTGGAGGCGAAGTTATACTTCTTTTTAAGTGTGCTGGTGTTTACATTCCGATTTGCCGAAGCCGTAGCCCAGGCTTGATAACACTCCTGCTTACTGCGTAATGCAGTCTTACAGGAGCGACCAAACCAAGGCTGAGATCTGCCTCCGATGGGTACCACAGATGATGGAATAAATAGTTCCATTCCCTGTAGCACCACGTCAGTGACAGAGTCAGCAACAGCGCTGGGATCATCCGGCGAGAAGCAAACCCGCCCCCATGGGTAGGATGCAAAGAAAGACCGCATTCCGTCCCAGTCCGCCGACCTGTAATGCCACGGCGGCAACCTGCAGAACGCAACCGCGAAGGGAGCGTGAGTGGCACCACACTCCGGATCAGACTGGTCCGAAGAGCAGAGAGGGGCATCGACGGAAACCTGATATCCGTCAGGATGAGAGGTCAGCAGAAGGTCCAACAGGGAAGGTGTATGATCCTCCACATCTGGAATTCGCGTAGGCGAAGGAACCAGTTGTGTCAGACCATATGCCAAAGCAAAGCCATAAACAGATCTCCCCGCATGATCGGTTAAACGTGAACCGAGCCATTCGGCGTGGTGGCCGTTAAAATCGCCAACGATCACGATCTCTGCGGATGGGACCAGTTGTAGCAAGCAGCCTGCAGCCCGAGGCACAAAGGAGTGCTCCAATTTGTACCCCGGGTAGGAGAGATACGAAATATCAGCTGGAGAGGAAACCTGCGTCTCGGTCAGAAAGAGCAAGGCCGGCTTCGCCGTCTCGAGATGGTAGTGGACGGCGTTTAGGTTCGAGTGAAGTCCCCTGATGTTACAGAAATTCACGGATAGCGTGGCAGGGGTCGCCTTGGTCTTGTTGACCTCAATCTGCCCAATTTGCCCCGAGCAGTTATGTTTTTGAGCGAAATTTTGCCCCCCCCCCACAATACGCGGGGCAGCCTGAGCACCCACGCTCAGGAGTGGAATAACATGGTCGTGAATGCTCAGCGAGGGTTTCTCCAGGGGTGCTGGTACCCTCCTGGGGTAGTCTAACGTGTAATTCCGCTACCATGTTGATTGGGGGAGGGGGGGGGGAATTGGGCCTCCGGCCACCTGCACTCACCAGACGAAACGTAGAAGCAGAACTTCTACTTCACGTCGGTATTCTGTGAGGTCGTGGTACCAACACGGCTCGAGCCGGCCCATACATGCAACAGCAAGAACTGGTGCGTGGCTCAACCACCGTTAAGCATCTGCAATACATTTAGTATTCCGGATGTTTACTACGGAGGGTAGCGGTGATCACTTATATTATTAGATGAGCCGGATGCCTGCTTCTATCAAAAATCTTTTTATATGAAATAATAAAAGAAATATAAATGCCCAGCAAGACCAGTATGATCTATTGTGCTAGCTATAGTTCCTAGATTTGTCGACTATAAAATCGTTATGGAAGAATCGATGGAGGACGAACCGCCGATATGTCTTCCAATGCATATGTCTTAAAATGAACATGGACAAGACAAAAGTCATGTGTGACGTCCATGTCACACCTATGCCGCCTTGGGAGCACTTTACCCTCGAAGTTATCGACGAGTGTTTTCCTTTGATCACATTTACCGAAAGGTCAATCGACTGATTCAATTCGACTGATTCACTTCGTTTGGGACTTAAAAACAAAGCGTACAAAGAGTGCATGTTGCCAGTGAGTAAGCTGAAGTGGCAATTTGACGGGCATATAGTTCAAAGAACCGAGAACCGAAGAGTAAGCGAAATCTAGGACAACCTCCCACTAGATGGAGTGACGACCTGATGGTAAAGATGCAAGAAGTCGATGGATGTAGGTGGCTCAGGACCGTGCCTTGTACCGTACATTATAACACTCCTTTGGGGAGGCTTATGTTCAATGAACTTGTGAAGGGCTATCAATTATGAGTAGATGATGGTATAAAAAATAACAGCTTTCAGTGAAATAGTAAAGCGATTGCACATTTTTGGCTAATAAACTATTTAACACTTTACACTAACAATTTAGTTCTCAGATAAATTCAAAGCTATAATTTTTTGTAGTAAATAAATTAACAAAAAACTTCCTTTGACCGTAAATTGTTATCTTAGATATTATATGATATCACATAGCAGAGCCACGCTGCAGCTGTATTATGACGGCAGCATGCTGCAGTCATAATACAGCTGCAGCGTGGCTATCTATCATAATAGCAGCGTAAAATACCCATAATGCTGCAACAAGCTGTCACAAGAACCGGCTACCTTTTTTACTGATAACGAGACATTCCATTTAAATTATAATTTATAATCGAGAATAGATATAGCTTATAGCGTTCACTTTTACAATCAGATAGCCTGTACGCTCGTTTGTCAACTTTACTTGCATTTAAAACATTATGAGTGCTACATTTGCACATCACGGTTCAGAGAGGTGTTCCATCATCTACAGACAAACATTACAACTAACTGTGCATTTATGAATTGCCATATATACTCCGAATTTTGAACCAGTAAAATGATTTTTGGTGAGATGAAAAAGCTTACGAATTATATCATGTATTTCATGATAAACGTACGGTACCAATACATGAAATAAAAATGCAGTCTGTAACGCAAAACTAAACGTAAGAGTTGCTACTGAAGAGAGTGGTTGCTGACTGATTAGTGGGAAATCTCAGATGAACTATTTTAGTAAGCTGATCTAAGTTGCTCTATTAAATCGATACGTATATAAAATGTATTATGGTAGAAAATAACTCTATTTTTAAACATGTACAATATGGATGATTGATAGCTCTTTTCTCTATTTTTGTTTGAGTTTAAAATTTCATATACGTAGCGCACTATAAACAAACTTTACACAAAATGTCTATTAATAATGTTCGTATAAATGCCTTTGAATAGTGGCGAGCGCTGGCGCCGGGCCAAGTACGATGCGCATGCGCAATATAATATAGCTTACACGAATTTTTCACTTCTTTCTAATTCTAAAAGAGCAAAGTCGCTCTTCTACCCGTGACAGTGATGCTCAATATTTAGTATAATTGTCAATGTTTATTAGAGTATTTTAATAGTGTTTGTGTCGTAAAAATGTCTCCGAAGTGTCCAGTGCCTCCCCTTCAAGACATAACACTGTCTCTAGTTGGTAGACAATTGATACATGCTCTGTCTCGCGTTACTTCTGATGAAGATGTCGCTCTGCCGTTCGCAATGGTGTCCTCTTACTACGAAATCATGGGAGCTACAAACGACATATTTCAAGATCTTTTAAATCTGTTATTGAGCTCGGAATATCTCGAACCGTCTATAAGATATTTATCAATGAAGCTTTTGTTGAAGGAGAACGTCAAGAGTTTAGCGACAGGAATATTCCCTTGCCCCTATTACAGGAAAGTTCTTGAACTAATTACAGAACAGGGGCGACACTTGACGGCGCTCAATTTGAAAGGAGTGTGGGTTAAAGATGAACATTTGCCGCTTTTCTATCAGCTAATAAAGAATCTCACAAATTTAACCTCTCTTAATATTCCATATATGGCTAACGATGAAGTGCTCAAGTATATAGGTGAACATAACAAAGTGCTTAAATTGCTCGATGTGTCGGGTGAGACGGATATAACTGAGATCGGGATCGACGCTATGCTGACTGGAAATCCTCAGCTCACCCAAAGTCTGACTGTAGTTAACATAGGAATGTACGGCGAAGAGAACATTGACCATACTGATGTTGCATTATTAATAAGGCGATTGCCTAACTTAACAAATCTTGGTAGTTATTCATTCGTCGGGAAATCAATTTATTATATATACAACAACGATTGTCCCCCAGGTTTCAAAACTAAACTACAATACATGCACGACGCGCGAACTAATTTGAGAACGATGAAAGCGATAGTTGCTTTATGTCCGATGTTAGAGACAATTTATTTAGAGGAGCCTGATCAAGGGGTACTTCAATTGATAAAGGACTTAAGTTACATAAATAAAATTAAATTAAACAAGTTCCAGTGTCACGAGCTACATCAGTTGTTGGATAAAATAGGTTACAAAATAATAACACTTATGTTGTCTGCGTCATTAGGTTCATTTAACTTTACTAGGATAGCGGAGACTTGTGCCAACTTGGAAAGTTTAGAGTTCTATCAGATACAGACGGCAACGCACGAGGAAGAAGTTCCGTTTAATAAATTGGAGCATATTGAAATAATACACGGTAATCTTTCGACGTCTTGCTTAAAGTATTTGATGACAGCGAGCCCTAAGTTAAAGAAGCTGATCATTGGAGATGAAATTCTTCTAGATGATAATGACTTGTCACGGTAAGCTTTTTGCTTATTTTATTTTTATTATGCACCAAATCAGAATGAATGAAGTAATACAAAAGTAAACACACATTAGTGCAACAGGCGGACTTATCACTGAAAGTGATTTCTTTTAGACAAACATTTTATTTTTAATATTATAAATGTTAACCCGTTTTCCCATTTTCTAGAAAAGGTTATAGTACAAATTTAAACTTAATTTAGAAATTTAATTCCAGCTATTGGTAGTTGTTGTAGAAATAAGTATATTATTAAAGTTAGAAGTTTAGTGGTTATTATTTATATATATACTAAAAATATATTTTTTATTAAAAACAAGGAACCAGATTATACCGATCCATTGTTTGCTAATAAAATAGCACAAATACAAGCAAATACAATTTTGTGTTGCAAGTGTCACATTGGTATTGCTTTCGTAAAATTTTGCTAATGTGACGTCCCGGAGATAAAGACGAATCGTAGGACACCTCGCACTACAATATCAGTGGCTATAGAAATTCATAAAGAAATAGATAAACATATTTTATATAACCAAAAAACACAACTCCATTCTGGGCAATCGGTTAAAAACTTATTAGTTACTAGATTTCGGTTCTTAATGCTAATTGTCTGTGCATGTGGAATCGGTGTAAGAAAATTAATTATCTCATTTTGGCCCATAAGTGTCGCAGAGGTGACTGCGAAATGCCAGAATGACCATTGAATTCCGTATCGCTGTATCATCTCATGTACGGTGCCAGATGCCTGGTACTGCGGTCATCAGATCCTCCCTACAATTGGGGAAACCCATGTCCTGCAGTGGACTCTTATATCCAATTTCACACACTTACGATGGAGAGAACTACCAGTGCGAGGCTAGCTCTGCGCTTAAACAAATAAAATAGCCATATAAAATGCTGAAATAGCCATAGGCAATTGTGATTGTTAAAATCGAAGTGTCGATATTACTGTACACCGAGCTTTTAGGCCAAAATAGTGAGAAAAATCACGTGAATATGATATAAAAATGTTTCGATTACGTGACGTGTTAAGTTTACCATCGGCACTGGAATAGCGGTAACCCCTTCCCCAGTACGATATATAACATTTTAGAGCAGAGATAGAATGCGAGCTCCTTAGATATATCCAGTCTGCAAATGTGTAGGCTATCTGTTACTTCATCATCTTTTTTATAGAATAAGTGATAAACGAGCACACAGTCCACCTGATGGTAAGTGGTTGCTATGGCCCATAGACATCTACATCTATCTTCGATTGCGAATTAAAATACAGATGCGTTGTCAGCCGTGAGGACTAAGATAGAATGCCTCTTTTCCAGTAAAAAGGGTCTCCGGTTCTCTACACTCACAATACGAAACACAGCAACATTAAGCTGCTATTTTACGTTGGTATTCTGTGAGAGCGTGGTCCTTCCCCGGTCGGGCCGACCCATTCGTGCTACAACTATACTATTAATATAGCTGCAGCATGGCTCTACCACGTATATAAACTTCTTCTTCAACATCCCGTTAAAATCCAAGTAGGTACTAGACATGGGCCTCTCGTTATAGCTATTATTTACATATTCTGTGGTTGAAAGCAGAACCAGACGTCTCACGTCGCTGCCCATCGCAGTGTTGAGTATTTTATGTCTGGCTAGATGGTTATGTCGCTATATATCGGAAGACAAGATTCTTCTGGAATTTTCCATAGTCGACTCTTACGATACCCACGATACGAAATAGGGTGATGGATTCTATTACGCCGCCACCACATGACAAAGTTACTTCAAATATTTTAAATAATTATGTAATTATTATTTGTTGTTTGTCATTTTCAGAATGCTACGTCGATACAGATTTGAACATTTAGAAGCAATATGGTTTCCCAACGCACCGCGACTAACGTGTGACGCAGTGGAGATGCTGATCGAATGCTGTCCTAAACTTCGAAGTCTGGGCGAACTGAGTGGATGGAGATTTACGCCTGACGAAATGATGCTTATGAGAGCAATCTACGTGAGCACGAACACAGACATCGTGCTCTCCCCGCTTGGTATATTCCAACAGGGCAGTTAGAAATTTATCAATGTTAAACTTTGTTTTAAATACAGTACTTTTTTTACCTGAAACACACATTATTTTCGTCATTTAAATAATTTTAACGCGGTGCCGCTAAAAGCCGTAATTAGTTACAAAAGAAAATTAACTGAGTATCTTAAATTATTTTAAATAACTTTAATAATATTATATTAGGTCTTTATCTATGAAATTGCCGTTTTTTACGATAAGTTACGTAATTTTTTTCTATTCAACAAATTCTTCAAAGGCATTTTGTACTGCCTCTTTGGTATTGGATTTTTCCCTCCCAAAAGTTATCCAACTTCTGGAAAAAGTAGAAGTCTGTAGGTGCAAGATCTGGTGAGTAGGGATGGTGACGGAAAGCTTCCAACCCCAGCTCTTGTAACTTGGAGACCGTCTGTTGTGCAGTTTGAAGTCGCGCGTTGTCGTGTAGGAGCAACGAGGACATGCGATTGACCAAAGCTAGTTGGAGACGTACGAGCTTCTCCATTATTATGTTCAGTTCTTCATAGCACACATCTGCAGGAATGCTCATCACGACCACCATAGACCACCAAACAGTGACCGTCACTTTTCTAGGGGTAAGTTTTCGTTTAGGGAATTGTTTAGGTGCCGAACCAGGATCCAACCAACTTGCTGAGCGCTTGCGATTGTCAAACAGAATCCATTTTTGCATTATAACTTATACACGATACATTTCTATAATATAGTTTAAATCCGTTTATACCTAATATATAATTACTTACTATATGTACTCTTTGCTTTAATGACTAGTACTTATATATACAGTAATCTATACAGAAAACATATTAGGCCGATATAAAAAAACAACAATTGTAGGTTAATAATATTTTATGACTAAATTATGCAGATTAAAAATAAACTTTGGTCAAAACTCAAAATATTGTATAAGTACGAGTAAATCAATATCGACTTATCATTCCACTGCCTCTTCCATCGGTGGTGTGTTTTCTTCATCTTTTGGTAGCTTGACTTTTTGTTTTAGTCTTAATTTGTACATTTTACATTCGTCGGCACACTTTGTCGTTATTATACTTCTGTAAAAAAAAAAAATAGAATAACGTTATAAGTGTTTGTTGAATCATGAGAGTAGCGTCGCGCGGTGGACATAGTTGTGTATCGCTAGCAACGCAAAGTCGGGAATTAGCATTTGGAAAAATCCAAAATTAGGGGCTTTTTAGGTGCTAATTAGGTGCCAAGCTTAAAAATTAGGTGCTTTAAAATTTTCACCGCAACGAATTGTTGAAATTTGCGTTGCTAGCAAAACGTCTCGCTAGCAACGCAATGAAGTTATTAGATATACGATAAATATTAATAGCAAGGAATTCTGAGAACCGGCCCTTAATAACCTAATGCAGTTATCATACAGATTTCGAACGAATGTAAAATTATTTTTGGTTTTCGGCATTGGTAGTGAACTTTGTTGGGGTTTAAGCGATAATACAGAAATAGCGTGCTTAATCGCCTAATTTATACTTTTTCATCAGCTCATTAAAGTTCATTGGTGGACATGGCCCTCTTCCGTTGAAGGGAGGATTTTGGCAGCCGGATTGACCGTTACAGTACCAGTTTCGCATCTTCGGCGCTGCTGCCCGTTGCAAGTCTGGATGCTGAATATTTTACGTATGGCGTAAAAGAGATCTGAGTATCGGAATCCATAAGATGTTTCTGGCATTTCGCGGAGTCGCTTCTTACGACACCCAAAGGACGAAATGAGGTAATGGATTTTTACGCCTATGCCTTACGGCAACTATTTAATATTTAGCTTGTTTTTTAGGGTTCCGTATACAAGATAGTAGTATATATAATGAAGTTAAATAGAAGCTACGCAAAATAAAGAAATGAACGGGTAATAGTCGACCAACTTATAAAATGCACTTGGATTAGTAAACATTTCGTTACAACTCCATAGAAAATTACCTAAAACTAGCTGTATTATAACTTTGTAATGTTATTGTAAACTGTAAAAATGAAACATTTTATGAAGAAAACGACTTATGTGCATTACTATAATAGCTTTACTTTTTCATTTGCAGGATAGGCATGGAGGATCTTTTTTACTTACTTACTACTTTCACTTATTTTTTAATTGGTAGTTATTGTAGGCCTCATTCAAAGCATTCATACAATCATATAGCCTCATACAGTTTCATTCGTCACACTCTTGGTTTACGCGGGCGACCTACGATAATTTAGGGCAGTAGTGGTTTACGTGAAAGTTTGTTACAGTCATATAATATGTATAGGGTTGCACTGCCGAGAATCTTTGTACTTACTTGGCATGTTAAGGATTTGATGTAAATTGTTTTATTTTCAAAATGGAAAAGTTTTTTAATATTTTAGTGGTACTAAGTCCTTAAGTTACCATCGCCCTATTTAGGTCCATTTTTAGTCGTTATAGCGGTCAAACTGCGAACTCAATATGCTCATTATCAAGAAAACCCACGTTCTGTGACGGGCAACTACGGATTAAATTATGCGTGGCTCGACACGCACTTGGACAGTTTTTTTTTTATTTACTATTATTTCTGTTAGCAGGGCTTTCTATTAAAAAATAAATATATTAAGTAGTAAATTAATAGTTTATGACTACTTGTTTTTATTAGACCCATTAATATTAGATAAATTCCTGTAATACGAAAAATCTACTGTCGACAATGCCACGTAAATCATTCGTTCGAAAATAAATGCCATAGACTGCGCATATCTTTTAAAACACTGGAATCAATAATCAAAAACAAATCTATCGTGTGTGCTTTTATTGATAACAAAAAATAATGCTTGATGATCCCTTTGATCAAATCGCATCATCCGAGTTGCTAGGCAGTCATAATTTAGTCAAACTAATAAGAAGTGCTAGGTCATAAGCAATGTGACCACAAAATAAAAAAAGTAATGAAATCTGTCGAACCTTTGGGTATTCATTCAATTTCGTCGTAGCATATACGATAATAAATGCTTTATCTTATGAGTATTTTCTATTTTTTGCTTTCTGTTATTAGATAGTTTCATAGAACTCTAATAACCCGTTGTTCATAATTGCGATGTAAGTATATGTAGTTGCTTTTCCCAACAACCAATCCTATTAATACTAACCTAACTAGATTCTCTTTAACCTTAAATCTGGATGTAATTTCTATTATAACGTCTGAAACTATTTTTGGGTCCAGACACATTTTAGCTGGTTTATCTTGAAAGGCCGGCGAACGTTTTCCGGTGAGGGAATGTGTTGCAAGAATTCTGAAAAATTAAAAAAAGTAAATTATTTTAAATGCATATGTGTGCGTAAGTGCGGGTTTTCACAATAAGTTAAAATGTACGTAGTCAAAGACATTTAAGTAGTTATACCTATATATTTAAATCTCTGTACGTAGTGTTCTATCTAATTGTAAAGTGTTTGTTCTTCTGCCTTTAAACTTGACATTAAACGTGATTTATATTATAAAAAAGTAAAAGCAAAACAAAGATAATACATATCTATATGTATTTATTGGTATGGTATTTCCCTACTCAATATGTTAAATTTTGATTTTTGATAAATACAAATATATAAAATTATGTAAATTACATACCTTCTGGGGAAAGTCGCTAACAACAAGGTACGCGTTGCAATCGTATAAGATTTCCAATTTACTTTCCTATATTTATCTTTGTGGATAAGTGTTTTCCCACTGCCTATAGGTATCTAAAATGTTAAAATAATATTACTGTAATACGTAAAGAAAATAGCAGAAATATGTATTTACACAAGCATAAATAGCTAAGAAAAATTTTAACTACTCTATGTTTTATTTTTAGGCCAAAGCATTTTAAAGAATGGCTGAATATAAAAATATTTACCCATTCCTCTTTATCCGCGCCACCTGACTGCTGATGACGGACAACGGCCTTGTCATATTTATTGGTTATGAGCACATTATCGTCTGAACGATTCGACTCCTCGCTTTGGCTTCGTTCACTTTCTTCACCATCAGATATTCCGACTGTCTCATTATGTATTATTGAAGTATTTCGGTTATTTCCATTGAGATCATTTAGACGTTTCACTGATTGTGACTTGAGGTCATTTAGCAATTGGAATAGTTCTCTAAAACTGGCTTTTATATCAAGAATATCTTTCACATTAACATTTAAGTTCTCAACACGCACACATTTAGCTGGATCGTTCGGAGGGGTGTTCTTTCTTGTTGAATCAGGTAATGACTTCCTTACAGGTTCACTCTTTTGAACCGAATCGACATATTTGTATTGCCTTTTACGACCTACAATATTTGTTTGTCGTTGTTTAAGGACGTTCGGTATGATTGCGTTCGGTCTATGCGTTGGAACTGGTCCCCTTTTGTTGCCTCTTTTATTGTTGTATTGTTTTATAGTGTGATGCGTTTTTACTCTTTTGTATTCTACCTGTGAATTAACATACATAAAATTGACATTTAAGTCTTGTATAAGTAGGATAATTGTAAACTGTTGCTCACAGCGCTAAAATTACCTGCGGAGTTTACCTGTTTTGTCCCTTAATTTGGAAGTGTATAAAAAAAGGTAGAGATGGCATTCTATTTGGATCAAATAAGTGAAACTAATAAACAGAGTCTGAAAAATTATAGTATTTAATACAGAGAAAACGAGAAACAGTAGTTGCTAGTATATTCCCGTAATCTAAACCAAATGAGCTTATAAAAACTTCTAACCTATACGATCGAATAATGTAATCTCCTAATTATTGAGATTTCTGAATGAAATCGCTTTCACTGATAAGACGGTCTGTTGTATCAATATATACATATAAATAAAATTGAAGTATCTGTCTGTAATATCGAAAATAACTGTCTGACATGAATAACACATGAGATGACAAGCGTGAGAGTTTATTATGTAGGTACTTTTTAAAAAAAAATATTAAAACACTAAAGTCGTTAAAAATTAATTTATATTTACTGACACATGTTTAAAAATCTAAAACACATAGTCCATTATTACTTTTTATAATCATCATATTATATAAGCCATTAGGGATTAAAAAAAAACAACACGCATTAATTATGAGCTGTGATGGTGCTAGTGAGAATACCGAGTCATGAAAGTGTCAGTTATATCCTAATATCAAGTCATATTATATTACCATTGGGACTGATACGCCTGCAAAAATTTCTAATTATTCAGACGTGAAGTGCGTGAAAGGTGATTTGAAATTTTATTACATAGCAAAACCATAATTATATCATATCCAGCTCAGAGACTTAGCACTTGGCGTCAATAATGTCCTCCAGACCGAATTTCGGTCACGACGATCAGTCTCGACGGAGACTAGCCATCCGCGCAGGAGAGGATTATGGTGCCGTACAGGTGCACTCTCTATTCCCTCACTCTCATAGTCCGATGGGACGGTAATCCGACACGACCGGAAAGAGATCAGACTGAGGACCAACGGCTTTACGTGTTACTGAGGCGGTTAAAACACCGCCAACTTCCTGACCCTGGCCTGATACTGAGAATTTCTTGAGAGAAAAACTCAATTAAGACCACATCGAAAACCGTTTAAGCGGGCTATCGCCTGCTTGATCCGAGTTAATACATAATTTCTATAAAAACTTAAAAAACGCCGTCATAAGATCTAAAATCCCATAGCGCCCGCGACGATTAAGACCGCTTAGAAATCCCTTAGAATCTTAAAATATTTAAAAAAAATTATTGATTTAAGTAATTAAAATAATGAGCAAGCAAATTACTAATATTGATGTTATGATGGTGACAAGCGTGAGTGTTTGTGTGTGTGTGTGTTGTGATGTTATGAATGTATTTGAGTGATTCCCAAGCATATAGATTAAGTAATTTCGTTGTAATTTCAACTATAGTGATTTTTTAGAGGTGTTTTCGCAAATAATTATGATCGAGTGAAAATTATACAATCGTGTTTTTGAACAAGAAAATTCAAGATAAAGATTTGAATTTACCTATATCGAAATTCCAGTTTCGTTAGTTGTTTCATAATCCTATACTGTTCGATGAAAGGAGGGGCATTTTCTCGCGGTGTCGCCTTAAATGATTTTTTGTCCGACCCGGAATTCGAACCTCATGATCAGCAGTTGCATTCACGACCACTAGACCAACGACGTAGTCAATATCATAGTACGCGCCGTAAAAATCATAAAACACGGGTGACTCGGGTTGGATCCCTACTGGCACCAATGAAATTGTTAATTGCAATTTTAGGTGCTGATACACCGGGTAGCTGATATACGAGGAAACTTGCATGCCTGAGAAATTAAAAAAAATAATAATTCAAGCACATGTGAAATCCGTCAAGACGCACTGTCTTAGAATTTGAATTCTGCACCCTCTCGGAAATGTGAGGCCTGTGCCAAGGAGTGCAACGTATATATGCTGTAACTTCACTAACGTTTTCGCAATTTTTCCTTTATCTGTGCTATAAAACGTTGCTTCGTACCAAATTTCAAGATTCTGAGTTCATGCTAAGTACCCTATATAGGTTTTGATTCCCTTGCGAATGTCGAAAATTTGCGGCATAAACGGCTGTATCTTTTGATGGCGTCATTTTTTCACAGCTCTAAGGGACAGTAGACTTGAGTATTTGATATGAATTTCAGCTTGATACCTCCACGCGTTCCTGAGAAAAAGGTCTTGACAGACAGACAGACAGACAGACGGACGGACAACAAAGTGAGTCCTATAAGGGTTCCGTTTTTTCCTTTTGAGGTACGGAACCCTAAAAACGAGCACACAGTCCACCTGATGGTAATTGGTTGCTGTGGCCCACAGACATCAACATTTATCCTCAATTAAGAATCAAAATACAGATGTGTTGTCACCCCTGAGGACTCGGATATAATGCATCGTTTCCAGTAAAAATGTATCTGGTTCTCTATACTCACCATACGAAACACGGCAGCATTAACCTGCTAGTTTACGCTGGTATTATGTGAGAGCGTGGTCCTACCCCGGACGAACCGACCCATTCGTCCTGCAACCACAATATAGCTGCAGCATGGCTCTACCATGTAAAGAAAATTTGTAAGAGCAGGAATCGAAGACGCAACCTGCAACGCTCCAACCAAACGTTTATCGAATAACTATATTTTTATTGTATTAAAGTTGGAGCCTATTTACGTCCTACTGCTGGGCACAGGCCTCCTCTCATTTCTGAGAGGGTTTTAGGGCAAGGAAATGTCCGCCGCGCTGCCCCAATGCGTGTTGGCGAACTTCACATGTCTTCGAAAATATATTTTTTCTTATTTCTCAGACATGCAGGTTTCCTCACGATATTTTCCTTCACCGCCGAGCACGTGGTAAATCAGCACTTAAAATTGCAATTAACAATTTCATTAGTGCCGGCGGGGATCGAACCGGGGTTGCTCGAGTACTGTGAAGCTTACAGCGAGCGCTAACCATCTGAGCTACCACGGCTACATGTTTATTGTATTACCAATCAATATTATGATCCTGAAATTAAATGAACTTAAAACTTTATTAAATGAACATAAAACTTTTTGTGTTCTTAGTTCAATCATTGGTTTTTAATCGAAGTGGTGCTTTAAGATTCAAATTGCTGGGTCACCCAAAAATTAAATTAATGATTCATTGAGTACCTCAGATTCTTCTGACGAATCATTATCATCGCTTGGTTCCCAGGAGGAGGCACTAAACGAGTAGTCCATATTCTCTTGTTGGGCACTTGGCCCGCCATCTTCAGTATCTTGATCCATACCTTGGGCGTTTTGTTCTTCCGGTAAACAACGCTCATCTGTGAATATTAATACAGTTTTGAATTTTTTTTATAGGATAGGGTGACAAACGAGCACACAGTTCACCTGATGGTAAGAATAGAATAGAATAGAATAATTTTTATTCAATATACATTACATGTGTAATTCTTATTGAAAGTCATTTTTTACTTTACCACTGGTTCGAAAAAAAAACCCTCTGTCCTGGGAAAAACCATCAAGAAACCCAGCGGGACTTTTTTTAAAAATAAATTTTACGAACTATTTACAAAATTTATTTTAGAAACTGCTTGGAAGCGACCACCTCATTCCCAGGGGTTATTATCAACCATGTATTCATTTATACTAATAATAACCCTTTTTATACAGTTTCAGCTTAACAAAACATTTAAACTTGGTAATAGAGAGAGCCTGTACACTTTCCGGGACATTGTTGTAATAGCGTATACATTGCCCCAAGAATAAATTACTGACTCTGTGGAGTCGAGGAACTGGCACCACTAGCTTGTGTTTGTTCCTAGTGTTTACAGAATGTATATCACTTTTTTTACTAAAACTATCTTTGTTTTTGTGAACATACATTAAATTTTCGTAAATATACTGAGAGGCCAAAGTTAATATATTTATTTCTTTAAATTTATCTCTAAGAGACTCTCTCGGTTTTAGATTGTAAATAGCTCTAATGGCCCTCTTCTGTAAAACAAAAATAGTTTCTGAATCAGCCGCATTTCCCCATAACAAAATCCCATAAGATATTATGCTATGGAAATAACTGAAATAAACCAATTTAGCTGTCTCGACACTAGTGAGACCTCTAATCTTTTTTACAGCATAGGCTGCAGAACTTAGTCTGCTTGCTAATTTGGATATATGGGGGCCCCACTGAAGCTAGCTAAGTGGTTGTTGTGGCCCATAGACATCTACATCTGTCCTCGTTCGCGAATCAAAATGCAGATGCTTTGTCACCCGTAAGGACTAAGATGGAATGTCTCTTTTCCAGAAAAAGGGGTCTCCGGTTCTCCACACTCACCATACGAAACAAAGCAGTGTTAAGCTGCTATTTCACGCTGGTAATCTGTGAGAGCGTGGTCCTTCCCCGGTCGAGCCGACCCATTCGTGCTACAACTATACTACTAATATAGCTGCAGTAGGGATGGGCTAGGGAAAAAATATATCGATATATCGACATCATTTGCATGATGTAAAGATAAGGTCCAAAATTTTATATTAAACGACAACCAACCACAAATGAATACTTTTGTATCTCCTTTTGTTGTTACATGTTTTGTCATTACTAAAACATTTTAAAATATATTGAAATTGATACGAATTCGATACTCTAAAATAAATATCGATATATCGAAATATCGCCATTTAAAATCTCGACTATATATATATATCGATATTTTATTATAAATATCGATATTTTTTACCCAAGCATGGCTCTACCACGATGTAATTAGGTCACCACAAGATTTCTAAATCAAAAGTTTTTAATGGCTACAATCTCTTAGTGTGCGGCCAAGCTGAAAGCAGGTGCAGGTAGCGGAACGGTGAATGGGTAGAACAAACTCATAAGATTGTTGGCGAAAAAAGAAGAAAGAACGCGCCCTAATCGGTAGCGGGCGCTTAGCGTCAAGCAGTTTATTTTAACCACTAAGTTAAAATTCAGCTTACAGTTTGACTAGTGTCAAACTGTAAGCTGAATTTTGGCTGATTTTTACTAAGGTCATGAAATGCTTTAAACTTTTTTTGCTTAATTTATATTTCAATATTATCATGAGATACTAGAGTAGTATATTCGTAAAATGGTGTTGTAGAATTAATTTTTATATTTTTTTTATTTAATCGATCGTTAATTTCGGGCGTGATTTAAGCTAAGCTACGAAGTACAATGGAAATTTAATTTAATATTTTAACGACTAACGCAACGTTTTTGTCAAAGGCATCTTAGAATATTATCACTAAAATCTAAATACTATCGCGTGAGCAATTAGAAAATAAGAGCGTAGTCGGTCTGCGCGGGAATTGAAAAATAGGTATTTGAAGAAACTATTGCCGTCGCGCTACGCCCGAGCTACCGAGGTATCAATATGTGAGTGAATAGTCTGTATTTGTGTGCGTAGCTCAGTACCGCGCATCGTCGGCCCGCCCGTGCCTCTTCCCCGCAGCCGTCCCGCCTCCCGCACCATTCAAGCTACGTTCGCTCGTTTCTCAGTCGGATCTCGGATTGAAGATATCGTCGTTCGCAGTGTTTCATGTGTTATACTTTTGCTATTGTTTACGGACTTGATTCTTTGCTTCACTGTTTTGACTTAGCTTGTGAATCGAATTTGAATACCAATTTGTTTCAACGACTGGAGAAAAATCGTGAGTATTATTTTATTTCTAAATAAATTTTATCTGTGTTACCCCCTTCAAATTGACAAAAGAAATTCAGTAATTTAACAAAACACTACTTGTAAAGTTGTGAATTTATTGAATTTTGTTTGATAAAATTTCAATTTACAAATATAATCATACCATAATAATTTTTGTTTCAGGCAAACCCTTTTTCGTTAATGATGGATCGAAGAAAAGGGAATAAAACGCGTCTATTCTTGAGTACTAAGAGAAAAAAACATCATTTACGTATAAAACGGAAGATCCATTTTGCACCGTGTACATTACCATCCAAGTAATTAAAATATCATATCCGTTATGGTCAGAGGGGCGTGAGGTGGTCAATTTTGAATGGCATGGCTGGTTTGTACTCCAGATGGTCCTTGTCATAAGGAGATAATAATATGAAAGCGGCAATAACAATGCCTAGTATCTTTGTTTCACACGTGTTTTATCCCATCTTAGCGGATGAAACACCACCTATTGCGGACGCTTGTAATATGCATTTATGTCAATATATTGCCTATCTCTATTGCAATCAAATATTAAGAAGTTAAAGTTACAGCCTATATATGTCCCACTGCTGGGCACAGGCCTCCTCTTATTTTTGAGTGGGTTTTAGGGCAAGGAAATGTCCGCCCCGCTGCTCCAATGCGTGTTGGCGAACTTTACATGTCTTCGAAAATCTTTTTTTCTTATTTCTCAGACATGCAGGTTTTCTCGCGATGGTTTTCTTCACCGCCGAGCACGTGGTAAATCAGCACTTAAAATTGCAATTAACAATTTAATTGGTGCCGGCGGGGATCGAACCCGGGTTGCTCGCGTACTGTGAAATTTACAGCGAGCGCTAACCATCTGAGCTACCACGGCTATATGTTATAAAACTATATATGTAATTGAAATTCACCTTCGACTGGGGTTGCCGTCGGAGATAGGGATTTTACTTGTCTTATAAATTTTTAACTAACTTCAAAAAAGGAGGAGGTTATATGTTCGACTGTATGTATTTTTTTTAATATATGTTCACCGATTTATCCGCCTATTGTGGACCAATTTTCAAAATTATTTTTTTATACGAAACTTATACTCCTGAGATTGTTTCATTCAGAGAGTCAGAATCTGATGATGGGATCCCAGGGAAATCGAGGGCAATTCCCAAATTTTATAGGCACATATAATGTATTTCGTGTACTATCTAACGCAATGCAGATATTTGTGCCTGGTAATCATCATTTCATATTGCTGATGATGGGATCCCAAGAAAATTAAGGGCAATCCACAAATTTTATGGGCATTGTTTGAAACAGTATACTTCTTATGTGTTCCCATGATTATCATATCAGGATCTTTTGAAGGGATCGTGGAGAAATCAAGGGAACTCTCCAAATTCTATAGACACATATAGGCATTATACCTAGTAATTATCATCTCATGTTGCTGAGTTGATGATGAAAGGTATAAGTCAGGATCTGATGATGGGGCCCCAGGAAAATCAAGAGAAATCTTCAAATTACATAGGCACTTTTAAATGTTTTTTTCATGCAACTTTCAGAGAGAGTCGAGAACCGTTTGACGAAAACGCAAGCTCTTCATCGTCAACTACTATACTCGATGACTTGCATTTAGTTTGTGATGACGAAGATGGTGACCATAATGAAGAAATTCAAAACGACAAGTTATCAGGACGCAGAATCGTAGATATAAAATATCTGTTTTCTGCTATTTCAAGCAACATTTAGGCTGCACATTTGCCGATTTAAATTTCGTTAAAGAGCAACGAAATGGTTTTATAAGCAAATATGTATTTGAATGTAAAATGTGTAAAATAATTGAAACAGTGCACAGTGAAGACACAAATGTGAAATTAAATGCAAATAATGCGATTGTAGAAGGAATTCTCTGTTCAGGAAATGGATATGCACAGTTAAACGAAATTTGTAGCGTGCTAAATATGCCAAATATGAATAAATCAACATATACGAATATTGAACAATCTATGATACCAATAATTGAAGAATGTGCTGTAGACGAGATGATAGTCGCTGGGCAAGAAGAAAAAAGGCTTGCTATTTTAAATGGCGAAGTAGACAAAGATAGCTGGCCTTTAATAACAGTAGTTGCAGATGGCTCTTGGGCAAAACGATCATACAAAAGTGGATTTAGCTCTGCGTCTGGGGCTGCATGCATTGTTGGACTGCGGACTAAAAAGGTTTTGTTTCTTGGCGTTCGCAACTCATACTGTTGTGTATGTGCGAGAAGTCAAAAGTTGAATGTAGATGTAGCTGAACACAGATGTTTCAAAAATTGGCATGACAGCGCTAATGCTATGGAAGCAGATATAATTGCAGAAGGTTTTGCAAAAAGTATAGATATGCATGGAGTCAAATATAACAAGCTCGTTGGAGATGGAGATTCTAGCATAATGAAGAAGTTGATATTAAACAAACCCTACGGTCCTGATTTTATTATATCAAAAATCGAATGTAAAAATCATTTACTGCGAAATTTCTGCAACAAATTGAAGGCTTTAGGGAAAAAAACAAATAACCATAAGGGCTTTGTACCAGTGCAGTTTCGAAAAATGGTGGAAAAAAATGTTTTGCGTTTGAGAAAAGCGATAGTTGGAGCAGTAAATCACAGAAAATCAGAAGATATAAATCCCAATGAAAATCTAAAAAATCTAAAAAAGGATATAAAAAATGCACCCAACCATGTTTTTGGAGACCACAGCAACTGCAGCGCTTACTTTTGTAGTCCCGAAAAATACAAAAACGACACAAATTTTGTTGCTGATCTTCACACTAGCGGATTATGGACTGAAATTCAGCATTACACATTGAGTTTAGCATCAAATGCAGAAAGTCTCATACTCGATGTAACAAACAATATAGTGGAACAATTTAACAATGTAATTGCAAAATTTATTGGAGGTAAACGAGTCAATTACACGACCAGAGGTTCCTACCAAGCACGATGCTTTGGTGCGGTTCTATCATGGAACAGCGACACCGCTATACATTCACGCCTGTCAAAAAAAATCCAGAGTTGCAGCCCTGGCAAATACACAAAAAAATTCATTGAAAGAAAAAGGAGATCAAAAGACTACAATGAAAAATGCCGAAAAAGAAAACTTTCGTTCGTCGACGATAGATCAAGTACAAAACGAAAAGTTACTGGACCTGACGAAAATTACGGTCGACTAGAATTAGAGCCTGATATGCCATCAGAAATATATGAGGAAAAAAAAAACATTTATTTCCGAGCTAGAACTATCAAAAAAGAGAGCTGAAGAATTTGAACGTAGCACGATTGGCCAGAGTGACAATAAATTGTGGACAATAGAAAGGCGCAAGCGTATCACGGCATCAAATTTTGGCAAAGTGTGTAAACTGCGTAAAAAAACATCAGTTGCGGGTTTATTAAAATCTTTGCTATACTCGCAATTCAAAGGCACTCCTGCGACAAACTATGGAAAAGAGAGAGAAGATGAAGCAGCAAAAGATTTTTCAAAAGAAACTGGACTGTCCGTAGTCAAGTGCGGGTTGTTTATCGATAAGAATAAAAGCTTTTTGGCTGCTAGTCCCGATGGACTAATAAATGAGGATTCAATTATTGAAATAAAATGCCCGTATAACATTGCTGAGATGACTCCAACAGAAGGAATAGAAAATAAAAAAATCGACTCCTGCATACTCCACAACGACAAGCTAATATTAAAAAGGAATCAGAACTACTACTATCAAGTACAAGGCCAATTGCACATCACAGGCCGAAGGTTTTGTTACTTTGTTTTGTGGAGCCCCAAGGGTTTCTTATATGAAAAGATTGAAAAAGATGACGAATTTTGGCAAAACATCGAACCAAAACTAGAAAATTTTTTCCACGAATGCCTTCTCCCTGAAATAATTGACGGTCGGATACCACGAAATTTACCCGTAAGAGAAAGGATGGAAATGACGACAGAATAAATGTACATATTAATTATTATATAACTTTTGTATTATTTAAAATACCCACAAGCCACATAAATATTAAGAATTTACTTGATAAGAGCAGTCATTATTTTATAAACTCTCCAGTAAAGCTGGCAAATCAAGTAAGCAGAATTATCACACCAAGCAGTAGAGTGCGAACATTAGTTACGTATTATTTGGTAACGGTTTGTATTTTTTCAAGAGACACTTCGTTGAAGTTCATTTCAAATGATAGTAAACGTAAACTCTTAAAATATCACTGAATTGTTACTTCGTTGTCTCTTAAAATATAAAATGAGCATCTAATTACACTGTTCTGTGCCGCCCGTAAATCAGTATAGGATAAACGTCGATATCAACTGCATCACTATGATATCGATAAAAACTTTAACTGTTGTCACTTCCCTAATTGTTTACGTATTAGTCTAATCCTCCCTCACCTCTGGTCTCCCCCCGTAGAGTGCGATAGGGACAACTGCATCTCAAAACGATTTTACCTGCGAAAACCATGACCAATCGACCTTTCGTATTCTCCTGTTTTCTCCACGAAAACTAAGCTGATTAAATTATTTTTGGTATCAAAATTTAAAGGAAGAATAGATCTATGCTCCTATTATTTGCTTTTATCTTAAAAGCTTTTCAAATTTGTTTGGTAGTCGTCTGATTATGGAGGTAAAAACGGGGCTTTTTTTTAGGTCTTTGGTAAGTCATATTTATTTTTGTAATAACTTTTTGGAAAAAAATAAATGACAGGGGCATGCCTTCAATAGACCTAAATTTTTATAAACAAAAACGATTAATCTAGACGTATTATCCAGGAAGATAATAGGGGAATACATTTGTATGGAAAAATTGCAGCCCGTCTACGCTCTTAAGCGAATTTCCACCAACACGAAGAAGAGAGATGTGTTTTACAAAATGACGACTTGGGTGGACCTGTTGGGAGGAAAAATATCCCATTTTGAATGATCTGTATAAGTATTTAAGATTTTTTCCAGTGTTCTGCCGTCTAATGTAATGGGAACCTTCAACCCTTTTAAATAGCGATATGAGTATTTCCAAGAATGTAGCTGCTGACAACCACTATTTTATTAACATAATTTCGGTAGGTAAGAGTATGCCCATACTTTCCACAACAGGCAGGCGGGTTGCAGAGCGCAAAGTTAATGCCCTCACTGAAAAATATAGATTCAACGTTCTTGGATGGTTTTCACCATCAGACGGCCGACGAGCTTGTTCGTTAATCAGTAGGTTGAATTCCGTGCTAATGAGATGGGTATTAGAAAGTTGGTATTTTCTCTTTTACACCCATCCTTAATAAACGATTAAACGCCTAGGAAGCCATGTTATGTAAGAACTTTTTACTAACGTTAACCTAATTTATCATAAGTTATATTATAGTAGAAATTCAATATTGCATCTATACGTAGCCTCTTTACTTAATTTAATTTAAATGTGTATTAATTTTTAAACAATGATATATTAAATTTAAAGAACTTTCTCTCTTAGAATATAACTACTTATATTTAAAAGCATAGCTTACTTATAATTTTCTCCAAACTTTGAGGAAGCGATAACCGTTAGGTCGGGACAATCTTAAGTAGGTAGGTACCAAGCAACTAGCGATATATCAGTCGTTTGAAAAAGAATTTAAATACACAATATTAATTGAATTATTCTTTCCGATAAGTAATATTTTAATTAAATAAAACAATAAATTAAATTTAAATTAAATAAACAAATTATTTCATCAATGGGTACCTAAATTACAAAAAGGTGTATTCCACTTTTTCCCACCAAATGTCCCACTGGTGGGACAAAGTGGAATCTTTCTAAATCTCTTCTATGTTCGTCTACTTTTTCCCGTTATAATAAATCTCGTTCACTTTTCGCCACTAGGGCTGGCATAAGCAAATTCTAAGATTTTGAAGTGTGTTTTTACCAAAAGCGTAAAATAAAACGTTTGGGTATAAAATAACAAATAAATAGCTTTCATAACAGATTTATAATAATCAAATCTATGAAAATGTATAAAGGCACGGATTTACAAAAAAATTCAAGAAAATATTACCAAAATAAAGCGTACATTTACAAAATTGTTTATAAAATTTTTGGACTTATCACGACAAATGTTTTATTATACTCGTTTTGTATTTCAATATTTGCAACAAATATTCCGTCATTTGTACTTCTTGGCCTGTATATGGGTTGTATATCTGTGTTTTTAAGAGGTTATGTTATGATGGCACATTTAGATTATCGGACTAGCAACTCGGCGAGTTATTCGTGGACGAGTAAGACGCGTTTACATACTATTTGTCTGTATTCGTTCAACGTAGATTTTTTAAACATGGATGACGTATGTCTTATATATATATATATATACTTATTTTTATGAATATTTATTTAAAACCGATTTCTAGGATCCTATATCACGGGTTTTCCTTGATAAAGTACTTTTTTTTTGGATAACGTTACCCCCAAACTTATGACTTTCTACTGTATCGTGGAGATAGATAGTTTACAAACATAAGTTGCACAAGGACAAACATCGAGATGCGGAACAATTATTTGCAGACCATACATCTACTTGTTCCTTCCGGTACTAGTACCAAACCCGCGGCGATCAGCACAACAACTCATTGCTAAGCCACTGCCCACTGCGCCACGGAGCCGTCAAGGAAAAGAGAATATAAAAAAGTGGATTTTGTGTCGTGGTATGGAAAAGGGGTGATCTTCCGCCAGGCAAGGTGTTCTGCCCGGGG